AGTGGGACGAGTACACAATAGACGATTCAAAGTACTAAAACGAATGCGTAATGTTTACTGTGATAATTGTGACGACTACAAGAGAAAAATACTCTTCAATGTGTCGACATTCATACTTGAAGTATTGACAGTGTAACGGACACTTCAGATTTAACGAGATACATTTATTTGGCATTTAATTAGGATCCACTTGAACATTGTGATGGCTACACAACTGACTGAGCAATAACGACAACGTTTGTGCATAATAACTGATAAAAACACCATTTAAATGTAGCTAAACAATTCCAATGTTTAAATTACCACATAAAGGAACGTGCAATGCTATTATGAATTGCGTTCCACATAACAATCAATATACATTTAACTTAGGTTAGTAAACTTAACGTATGTAAAGAATTCTGGTTTACAGCGGCAAATAAAACTTTGTGGCGTTGGTTTATCGACTGTACTGTAGTAAAGGAGTGACAGAAAAAGCCTTGATAATTATTGCTATAGTTTGATATAAATAGCCAGTGGCGCCATCTAGGCTGCCGTGATGACTGCTTACAGTTATTGCACGTTTCTTAGTGGCTAGGAAATGTTGTTATGATTTAGTGAGACGTTATCAACCGGTATCCGACCAGCCGTTTCTAATATTACAATGCACAATGATCATATCAAAAAACACTGAAGTGATTGAAACAATTTACAAAAATATAACTAATAGTCGCCTTTAGAAATATACAACACAATGGCCACTATTTAATAAACACATAGCCGAGTCAAAATTGTTATCACTCAATAAAATTGGAATGAGAATAAGAAAATAAATATTACAAATTTTAATTCAAAATTGTATCTTAATACAATACATTGACGAAAATCAGACGGATATTTAATTAACGAGTAAATATTACTATAACGCAAGACAAAGTGCTTGACAGAAACGTATGCTAGAGCGACTTTGCCAGGAAAATAACAAATTGGCTGTGAAACTATGTATAATACCGAAATTAATGCTTTGCACCATTACCTTATTAAATAGAGACAATTTACGATTCACAAATCTAAAGAATTATAAATAAGTAATCATGTTACTTTCTTTAGCGCCTTTGTTAGCTTCACGTTTGGCAGCCGGACGAAAATGACACTAATAGCTACAGTTATTTGTAGCGGAGCTTTTTTTTAACCGCATATAAATAAATACAGCTCGCTTACTAGTAATGTCTGGCGAGACACTGGTATTTCTAACCTTGTATTGTTCCGTAAGAACAGCCTAAGATTCAACGCAGACAACCGACGTCAAATTATACGAGTATATCATCATTATATATATGCATGTACATAAATGTGTGGCAAGGCAAACAGTGCAAAAAGTAACATCAATAAATGAAATAGATACGACTACAGACGTAATTTGCGATGACGTCGTCGACGTTGAACCTTACAATCAAAATATATGTTTATACACACGCCGGGCACATTTAACGGAACAAAACGTGGGAATATAAAATAATACGCATAGAATAGAAAACGTTCACAAAGAAAACACAAGTAAACATTAACATCGACTTAAGTAGTAAAATATAACAGCTTTATATAGTAGTAGATCTGGTACATGGATTGAGAAATCCTTTCATAATAATGGCAAACGGTATAGTCTATGCCATCAATAAGATAAGAAGCTTAATCGATAAGATATAGCTTTAGTCAACCCTTTACAAAAACAAAATTAAATAAAATGCATTTTTTTACATTTTACGCAGCTAAAGATTGTGACAGTTTAACATTGATTAATAAAACTGTAATAAATGAAAAAGTTTTTTTAAGTACTGTTTACAAAATGTACAACAACGCAAAATCAATCACATAAAAATGACTAATTAGATCTAAAGTAAAAAAGTAAAATAACCGACCATACTTAAAATACATACATAAAAATACTGCATTATTTTACTTGCGTTCCGCTAAATGTGCCGTTGTGTGTATGTATACAGCTCCTAAGTCCGGTATTAAGTGCGTATTGGCTGGCTAACTGGCTCATGTATTAATAGACTAATCATCGGCTACTTGGGTCATATCATCTCAAGTAATAAAGACCTTGCACTGCATTGATTAGGATTCAACAACGATATTTTAATAACTGGCAAATGATCGTTCTGCCGTCCACGTCGTAAGTCATCGTTCTACCGTCCACTAAGCGACAAATGGTAACGCACCAATAATAACTGAAACAATTTTTGAGTTGACACTGATATAACAATCGATACAAATGTCATATAAAACACAAGTACTTTTTGTAGCGCCATGAATAGACATAATACTACGCCGAAAAAACCTTCATTGTTAGAAGTTAACTATAACTTATCTAATTATTAAAGACTCGTCTAGAATACAGATATATAGATACAAATGAGACGAAAAATACTTTCGATATAGTGTCCATGCAAATTGAACAACTTCAGCAATATAGATTGTTTAAACTAGAATCAAATTAAATTATTTACCACCTTTTTTTAAGTATTTGATTTTTTTTTTCTGTAATACCAAGTGACGGGCCCAACAAGTTGTGGGCCTGGTGGTAAGCGACACGCCTATCCATAACAGTTACAATGCCATTCAGGGCTTTAAATCGCAAAGACCATAAGATCTCCACTGCCCATGCGCTAATCGCCCTGAGACATAAGCTGACAAGCCCCATGTGCCTGTAAATTCACCCTTACCCTTCTAAACCGGAACGCATTAATGCTCACATTACTGCTTGGCGGCAGAAATAGGTAAGATGGTGTACTTCCCTGGATGCACTCTTTCACGAGGAGCTAGAAGAACATACTTTATTGTGACTCAAACGTTTGAAGCTCCAGGAACAAATCGGCTCATCCGCAGAACAAAGGCGTATGTGTAAGACTGTTCATTCTCAGAACATTGTACATTTCGTTCTGTTGTCCGATTTTATATTTCCGAAACGAAATAAGATATAAAAATTCTGAAAACACCTATCGATTGGCCTTATTATGAATTTATCATGTTTTTTAATTGTGCTAACGTTTCTCTTCCTAATATTGATCAAGAACGCCAACATTTAGGCAGCAGCAAGGTATTTTTGGAAGAATTTCTTCGACGAACTGCTGTCGTGTGGAGATTCACAACCTGTCCAATTGTTTTTCCGCTTTTTGGAATTGAAGCATCATAGCGATATCTGACTGAGAGACTATAGTGCTAAACCCTTTAGATTATGAGTTAAGGCTTTTAGTCCTTCGTCCCCCAATGTTCCTCTTACCTCATCTGACCCTAATGACAAAATATATACCGCCAAAAAATATGTCCCATTTGAAAAAATAGCAATGGAAATGGCATCTACGTAAATGGCATCTACGTCACTTAATAATGATGTGGGAACCATTGCAATATGTTATATAAAGCATTTGTTTAAGGGATTTAAATCCTGACGTTCGCTGTTATTGTACGAAAATTTTATTTCTCGCTATAATGGTGAAAAAACAAGAATCCAACAATACTTTTTTATCACATCCTGGTATTGTAAGTAGATGTTAAAGGTGCCTGGCATTACTAGCGAGCGAGTTGTCCACGCCACCTCAAGTGAAGCTATAAAGACGAAGATGTGAACTTGAGCCTACCGACGATTGCATTTCGACTTTAAAACATCGAGTTCATATTCATTTAAGTTAGGTATAAGTTTTTGAACTCGTTGCATAGCGTAACGTAGCTACATACCCGCTAAGATTAAGTTACAAAACCACCAACTTATCTGCGTTGCGAGATGTCGCCAGTGTACTGTTTTGAAAAAAATGTTGTTTTAGGATAGGTTCAGACGGACGCACATCTTCCGCGCGTTGATGGGCGTTGGAATGTTCAGATGACGAGATGCAACGTACTTGCAGTGAACGATAAGGCGCGGTCATCTGAACAGGTACACTGTCAGTGCCTGCCTATAACGCGTGATATGCACGGAGAGCGGGTGCGGGTCGGGCGCGGGTCGGGTCGGTACCACGACGGGTCTAATTCCGTATCTTTATATGGACGACAACAGCGTGTATTGCGAGACCCGCCGTGGCCCCGACCCGAACCGCGCCTGATCCGCACCCTCTCTGTGTGTTTTAAACTTAATTGTAAACCCGCAGCCACGTGCGTATACAGCGATGACGCGCTTACATATGGACGTGTGTATGTAAAATATATGAATTTCTAGACAGGCGACATAAAAACACGCGTAAAATTTTTGTTATCTGAACTTACGTCTAAATGATGGACTCCATTTAGTAGGTCATCAAAGAAATTACAAAAATAATAAAAAATAAACTATGCAAACCATAAAAATTGATAGTCAATTTGACTTGTAACGTGGTAGGCGTTTTTGAACACATCACATATAAGTTGGCGACATTGTTTTTATATAAAATAAATAGAATGTAAACAGGGCAATGTCACTAATATAGATAAAGCTAACAAGTCAAGCGATAAGAAAACATAGACAAAGAAAAACTGATTGTTTATTTCAAAAGTTCATTTATCTCGATATAATTACATACGACACGAAACAAGATCTGTCAGCTAGCAAGTGCTACATATTATCTTCTAATATTTATTGATAACTAGAGACGAAGATAAGAACAGAAATCAATTTAAAAAATATCTTTTGTATGGAACAATGTTTGGCCTTAGAATCATACGTCGAATGACATGTAAATGAATTTCGATGAATGTCCCCATAGCTATATTACAATCTAATGTTCTAAAGGACCAGTGCCCGGCAGTGATAGTGTTCATATTTTATACAAGAATGATAACACTGTTTTTGTGATAATTACCTATTTTAAATCATGAAATAAAGAATTATGAAAAAAATGATAATTATTTATTTCAAATTATAAATAAATAATTATCAAAAAATCCAGGAAATAATTATCACATTGCCAGCAAAACATAATCTCGTGTCGAATCTTTCATTTATATAACCGAAGTACGTAGCTACGCGTATCGAAAAGCATTCATACATAAGCTGTTAGAGTGATGCTCAGTCGATGTACTGCGCAAGCCAACGGAAGCCCTCGCCGTAGCCCTGGCGCTTCAGTACGGAGCACATGAAGAGTTCAAGTGGCCGACCGGGCAGCTCCGATCGAGAAACTTTGCCCTGAAAATAATAATTCTTATACATCATCAACTCATTTATACGTTCCACTGCTGGGAACGAGCCTCCTCTCAGAGGATTTAGGCCATAATCCGTCACACTGACACAATGCGGATTGGAGACTTCACGCATTTTCCGAAGGTTGTGAACCTTCGACAGGTTTCATCACGATATTTTCCTTCGTCTTAAAGCTCGTGGTAAATTTTACGTTTAATTTCGCAGATACATTCCGAGAAAACAAAGAGGTGCGACCACGGCTTTTTCTTATACGGTATTTTGTATGCAGGGTGTAATCGTTAGGTGTGCCCAGGCCATTATCCTATAAATATAAGAGATACCAAAAAGCTTTAAACTGACATCGAAAGTATGTTACCTAATGAATAAGTCGACATCAATAACTTTTTGAAAATAAAACGAGACATACAACATTTTTGCATTAAACGCTCTCCCACATTTAATATAACATTCGTAGAGAGGCTTTAGTTTTCCTAATGTAAGAGGTAACAATATGTTAACAGATGACAAAACTTATACAAATAAAGTAATAAAACTATCTTTTAATCTTTGGTCAAGTGTGAGTTGTCCATAAAAAAGAATAAAATTGATCAATTTTTTTTAATGCTGATCGACTCAGTTTCATGTAAGGATCATTTCTTTTTCAGTTGGTCAAATTTAATCAAATGTTTTATATACAAAATAAAGCCTTTTGATTACTCTTATATTTATGGAATAATCGCCTGGGCACACAACGATTACACCCTGTATATAAATACAAGTAGGGCAATTTATAAAATACTAACAACTTCGCAGAGCAGTAGTTTGTGAGTGGCTAGCCATCGAGATGCGAATCAACTGCCATTGCATTTTTTTGTATTCTGCTCTTTGATGGAGAATCGATGGCGTAGTTTAAATAATATTATACATATCCAATTTGAAGAGTAAATTGCTTATCAAACGAGACAAAAATGAAGGTGTGCATAGTAATTTCTATGTTGCTTTTAGTAAGGCAACACTGATCGTTAGTGATTGAATGACATCACTACCATTCCACTGACACTCTATCTGCCGTCCAGTAATTAAAACGCGACTAAGTGAGAAATGGTCAAATATCCGTTTCAAATAGCAAAAGATGGAGCACAAAATTCACTTTTAAAAAACAGTTAAAATTAGTTAACATGTTCGACTTGTCGGAACTTACCCGAACGATGCATAGCCGAGACATCATTAAACAATTTCAGTATTCTAACACTGGGTTATGGTTTTTTTATGATATCTCAAAAAAATATTTTGTCACTTAGCCGCGTAACTATTTTTTAGAAAAATAACAAATGTTGTCATAATTGATAGATAGATAGATGAAACATTTATTTGGATTTATAGACACACATGCATAACAGAAAAATATGTACTAATATAATAAAAAGAAAGAAAAGCCAGCACAGTCGCAGCACTGCCGAACACCCAGATATGTATGTGCACTGTGCTGTGCAAAAAGGCCATAGCTCAGCGTCGGTGTTTACTCAGGAGCAAACCGCCGATTTTCAGCTACAACCTAAAGGGCGCCCCGTATACGATAACCAGCTACCTGACCATGTATAAATTAAACGAGTAATAATTTCGAAACTAAATAAACACGGAAGATAATATAAATATAATAAATGATAATATTTTTTTAAGATTTGATTTAACTATGTTAATAATATAATTAAATTATAAATTGAAATTTTATATAAAATAGAAAATGAAATTATTTTTCCGGATTTAAATCGCGTATATTTGTTTTTTCAAACAAACCGACGTTTCGGGCCCTTTACATGTCCCATGGTCACGGTTGACAGTCAACTAAGTGTAACAATCGCGAAAACCTAAGAACTTTTATATAAAAGTCAATTTAATTATAAATAGGTAAATCCTGTCGCTATTACACAATGTTATGTGGGCAATTGTCGCCACTTAAGCAAAGCGCTGTGGATTATTGCGCTAAATGCAATATAAACTCTTTGACGTCTCAATAGAATTAATATGGTGAGTGCATCGAGTATATAACCAGAAATAGAGGCGAAATGTCATTTAAATTTGTTTGAAAATTATGCTGCCATATACAACTGTGCTCCGATTGGCTAGCCCGAGTTCGAAACAATTGACGGGTGTCGTCAACTGTTTCACTTGAAATCGACCAGTTTAACTTGATCTTTGCTAAAATGGACGAAAATTACACATTTAATATTTAATTACCGATGAAATTTGATTCCGTTTGTTTTGTAATTAGATGTTTTGCTGTTTTTCCCACACCACCGAATAGAACAGCACGACATTGTTAGAGATATTATCTTTATTACAATAAATACAGAATATTTCATGGAATATATGGAGACGTACACACAGGTCAGTAGTTGGCCTGTCTATATTTCAGTGCAAACGAGAATTGTTATTCTATATTTTGATTTAATTGTTATAAGAGCTATATCACTAATGTGTTACCAAGAATATATGGCCCTTATTTCGTCTCTATTTCTGGTTATATACTCGATGGGTGAGTGGTTTCAAGAAAATTACCAGTCTTGTGGCCTAGTGGGGAGTCGTCGGGGAGGACAAGCGGCCTCCAAGCACGTTTGAACTTACTACCTAGTAGGTTGATCGCCTGCCTATATAACCTATCGTTTATCAGCCGTGCAAGCAATGTCCTCGTTGGCACTTGCAATTCGAGGTCACGGCGCAGTACATGTGAGGTGACTGACCTTGCCCGTGGTTTGCTGATAGAGGTTAAAGAACTGGCGCAGCTCGTCCTCGCTGGCGGCGCCGGGCTTGTCGATCTTGTTGCCAAGGATCAGCACCGGGCAGTTGCTCAAAGTCTCATCTGTCAGCAGAGAGTCCAGCTCCTTCTGCATATGTAAATAATTTTTTATTTTATGTGACGATGTGTGTATATGGCATGCTGAATTATTATACCACGTTATTACGTGGCCTTAGAATAATAACGCATAGAATGATAGTTTCATATCAAACGAACTGTCACAAGTGAGGCAAAAATCAAATTCATGTAGGCTAGTTTTAGTAGTAGGTTAATTTTTGATTTTGGTGAATATTTATATAAAAATACAAGTTGACACGCGTTACTTCCTTGTGGAATGTGATGTGAGTATCTATTTTATGTTTGTCTGACGTATTTTTGCACTCATTTATCGTACATTTCGTCATTTTTAGCTAAAATTCTTGAACTGTTCGCGGTGCAAGTTGACCTTGAGCTTAAAGGCCCGCCCGCTCGTGTAGGCCCATTGGGCGCGCTTCAATTTGCCTCACTTAGCATGTGCGGACTAGGTTTCTATGCGTTATTATTCTAAGTACGTGGCATATAAAATTCGAAAATTAACATTTTTGGAAAGCTGATAAAATATATTTTTCATCACACTTGCTCGTAAATAGTATGATGGTGGCTAACTTGATAATAATCAACATCATCACCATCATATCAGCTGGAAGACGTCCACTGCTGAACATAGGCCTCCCCCCAAAGATTTCCAGACTAGTCCATCGGACACGGCGTGCATCCATAACCGTCGCCCCGGTCATCCGGTTCGTCGTCTACATTCGAGAGAGATTTTAATAGTAGTGGAGCTCCTTGTGAAAGAGTTCGTCTAGGGAAGTAGTTCGTCAGCATTACTATGTTGTGGTTTTGAAGGGTAAGGGTGCTGGTGAAATTACAGGCACGTAAGGCTTGGTTACCCTTGGTAACCATGACTTGGTAATGGATTTCACCCACTTTCCGTTAACCGATTTCAATAAAACTTGGCAAATAATGACAAACATGTAACAAACAAAGCGAAAGCGGAAAAGCGAACTTTTGAAGTCAGTCTTTTTTATAAATAAAGTTGTAATATTTTATTTATTTTTTACAACTTTAAATATTATTATAATTATAAAAGATTACGGTGTGTGACTAATAAAGCAGATCTGAAATACAAATGTGTTTTAGGGGCAAACTGAAAACCAGCGCTGAAGGTCTTCTGCCGCTCAGAGAATGGTGACTTTGTCCCACATGCAGATATTGTTGAGTCTTGTTATGATATTAACGTGTGCGGAAATAAATGGTTTGAAATGATAATCGTTCTGATTATCAGGCACGTTATAAAAAAAAACTACATCATTACTATTAAAAGTAAGACATACGTCATATTCCTTTGGAGTTGTTATGAATATGGAATGTATTGTGATGTTCTATTATGAAGTTATAAAATAACAGCTAATCGACTGCGACTACGCATGGCAGAAGTGCGCGGTAAACGATACCTTGGACTCGTTCAGCCTGGGGCGATCGCAGGCATCGACGAGGAAGACGATGGCGTCGACGGCGGGGAAGTAGTCGCGCCACACACGCCGCGCTTGCTCGTGACCACCTAGGTCGAACGTCGTGAACCGCATGCTGCCTATTGATAGTTCTTCAGATGCTGGAACAAACAAAATTGAATCAAATGTAATATTCGAAACAGTTTATCAGTTTTAACAGTTGTAGGGCTCCTTGTTCTTGGGAGTTCGTCTAGGGAAGTACTGCCACCTAACCTAGCTTCTGCCGTCAAGCAGTAATATAATAATAATAATAACGCGCGCGCGCACACACACACACATGGCCACACACTAGGGAAACCCTCTATCGCTGGTGCTATAAACACATACATAGGCAACCACAAATTACATCCAAACTCACGAGAGAAATAAATGTAGGCCATACAAATATTTCTCCCGGCTCGAGAATCGAACCCGGGTCCTCTGCGTGCCAGTACAGCGTGGTAGCCTTTCGGCACTGAGGCAGTTGAAATGTAAGCATTACTTTTTTTATGATACCAAGTGGCAGGACAAACAAACCGTGCACCTGTTCTTAAGCGACACGCATGTCCATAGCACTTGCAGTGCCAATCAGAGCTTTAAATTGCAAAAATCTGAGCGACATCTCTGTCAATCTCTGTCAATCTGCCACTGTGACTGTCATCCTGTAACATAAGTTGACAAGTCCCATTTGCCTGTAATTTCACCAGCACCTTTACCCTTCAAAACCGGAACACAGTAATGCTGACATTACTGCTTAGCGGCAGAAATAGGTAAGGTGGCAGCACTTCGCTGGATGAGCCCTTTCAGTAGAAGCTATAGTGCTACTAAACTAAACTGCTTTGTTTACTGCTACAAAAGCTTGCCTTTTGGGTGGTGATTAATTCAACCCTTATTGACTATGACTTAAAATAATAATACATTTATAGTTATTACTGTTAGTTCTAACATTTAAATTCAACTTTACCGTAGCCGTCTACGATAAGAACGATCCAAAGTATCAGGCTTTATGTGCTCTTGATTGTACGAAATAAACTAACTGTTTATTGCATGTCATTGTATGATAATAAACTAAAAACTTGTCATCGTAACTTGACGCTTTTGCGTCTATCTTTATTTATCTATACTGACTTACGAGAGGAATAAAGAATTTGTATTTCTAATCGTATTTTAAACGTGGTGAATAAATTCATTCTAAGCACGTACTTGAACATTAAATATTGCAAGATCTTACCTGTAGATATTTATTTGCGTAACAACTAGTTGAAATTATTCACAGTACTTTCAAACAGAGTCCATAACAAGCCACAACATGAATAAAGTTAAAAAGACATTGCAATAGAAATACTTTGTGGTGGTCAATCAGGATAACAGAATTTTAATTATGGATGCCTTATTATACAACTTCTGCGCACTTGGATGACAAACATCCGTGGTAGTAACCCATTTAGCTCATGGAGGTAGTCTCGATCTCTGATGTTTGAAAGCAAGACAATAAATATATTGTAAATGTTGACTGCGTACAAATGTTATTTACAAAGAGCAACCCCTAGAGTTTCATGATTATTCTTCTCAGGAGAATCTGCCTTACGAATGCGCGGTAGAGTTTAACCAATGTGACGATTTCAAGTGTTATGCTTACCTATGAATTAAATGTATTGTCCAAGCAGGTTGATATTGACCTTTTTAACACTAGTGTTGCATCGGTGAAGCGTCTTATTAGTGGTTTGTATTTTGGCGAGTAGCTAATTGTTGTGTGTGCGTTTATGTCATTACCTATATAGTATAATGTTAGTTATATAGTTATAATTTATAGCTCATTAATTAACTTAATATGTATCTACCGGTGAGGACCTATAATTGGCTCTCCGTTTTTATTTAAGTTTATGTTATGTAAGATAGCCGTTGGTCTTCCTAAAATTAAATAATAATAATAATAATAATAAAGATTATTTTGATTTATTACATTAATCCAGTAGCTGGATCCCGAGTTACTGAAATCCAGTGCTGAATTGACAATGGATTAATGTTACAATCCAGTACAGCGTCCAGTATTTTGCTATTTAACCCGAGTTCAATAAAAAGAAGGATTATATATGTTAATGGATTCTTACGATATACAGTAAGTTTGTGAACTTGCCCTGCCTGGTACCGACTCCAAAAATAACTGATTCGATATTGTAAATATTTAAGTATCAATCATTTTCAGTGGCACAGTAAAACTTCAAACCGATCAGTGGCTAGCGCATATCAATAATAATATTTTATTAAAATTATAGATTTGGATAAGAATTGTCACGTCGTAATTGTATAAGAAATAAACCATAAATGTAGATAGATTGATTAATATGTAATTACATTAAACATGTATAGATATAGCTACAAAGAGCCACCAAATCTTAACACTTTTTTTAATTTAAAATAAGTTTTCCGAATTTCCGAATTCCGAATTTCCGGATGAAAGAAACTCTATAGGATAAATAGGCCATCAAAAATGTGACTTTTTCGTCTTAAGCGTCCAGAAGCTTTTTTTATAAAAAGTATTAAAATAATCTAGTGTGAAGATATTCCTTTTAAAATACGACATTTCTGCTAGTGGTTCGAATTTATGAACATCTGTTATACTGGGTTTTTGGATTTAAATGAAATACATTTAGAGAGCAATCACAACGATTCTCGTGCAAACTAAAATGCCCTAAAATTCACCTCTTAAATAAAATTTTTAATTACTTTTTTCTTAAGTCCTACTAGCAAATGTCGCCGTTCCGTTAATGTGACCGTGAATATACGATATGTAAAGCAAGGGAGAGGCGGGGAGTGACCATTCTCATTACTTTTTCATTCTACGTTTTAGTAAAAGGTAAGTTATCTAATGCATTTTTTACATGGCAACATTAGAATTACTTTAAAATCCTACTATTACTAATAATCAGTAAAACCATTTCCTCAAATCCGGAATGCGAAACAGTAACTAATTAATATTTGTTGGTTTTAACAACTCTATGTCGCTCCTTTTTCCGACCACTGTTAATTACAATACTGTGTGCAAAACGAAATAAGACAAAAATAAATATACTTTTTATTTACGTGTTTTGTTGTCATTTGGACTAAATCTGTATTTTGTTATTTTTCGCGTGGCTCATTTTTTTAAAGTTTGTTCAATTTAGTGTCCGTCTCCGGCACGCCGCGCACCCTGTGTGAGTGGCACTGGATCTGATGCGTAACTGCGGCGGCGCTCTAACCTCCTTCATAGTCATTCCCCACCTTTGAATCATTCTCGAATTCCCCCTTCATTCCAATACTCTTACGTTGGTTCGTTCCGTCATCACTACCATCGAATTCCCAAAAAGAGGGCGTACTCATAAATCACCCTCGTATCAAACTCAAACTTCTCGTGATTTAATGTTTGTTAATCATATAGACACGTGATTTACTGTTTGTAAATCATATACATATATAGCCCCTTTTGGGGAAGTGTTGTCTGGATTGTTTACCAGGGAGTGTTTAATACTCATTGTACTTTTTTATATCATTTTGTTACAGCCTTTTCCTTTCTACTGGTAAACACATTATGTGGACCCGTCTTTACTTTCTATTCGTTAAGGCTAGGCCACAGCGCGATCCAGTGCCAACTAGGGAAGCATTTTTTACTTTGAAACGATTTTTTGGATCGTAATAGATCATAATGTCTTTAAATCGAGTCATAGATCGGATCATATGATCGATTTCATAATAAGCGTTCCAAAATTAATTTTGATAAAAAAATATCGACAGCCTTTTCGGCTCCAATGACAGCTTTAGAGTGATATTAACCAATGAGAAAAGGCGTTCAGATGGCACAGTAGTAGCGACAATGGCCAAATATCGTAGACTTATTATACTTAGATGTTACCAAATTCTATAGATTAACCATTTGATTCAGTCGAGGTTTAGAAAGACTGTTTTGTTTAAATATATATTACGAGTAGTTAGAATACGAACTAGAGGAATCGATTCGCCTTAAATGTTGAATCGATTTGCTTAGAAATCGTATTTCAATGAATCGATATAAAACCGCTAGATCGTACACACTTGAATCGATCTTCATAAAAATCGAATCGTCATGTGCATCCCTAGTGCCAGTACCAGACCAGGGCTGGAATCCTGTGACCACGATCCAGCTACTGGACCAATGTTAATCAGGTTTTACTCAATGCACTGACAAATTATGCGATAACAGCGAAGGGAAATAAAAAAAAAGGATTTTTTCTGAGTGTTCGATCTTTGTATTATAAATTATAACATACTAGTGGAGTAATTTCACAAAAAATAATTGAATGTCAATTCAATAAAAATTTAAAATACAGCGAATAGCGACATCTCTCGCCAGGACTGGTAACTGTAAAGGTACTAACTGGGTGATAAATCTTTCATAGATTTCTCATAGATGGCGCTACGATTAAAAAGTCATTGAAAAAACCAAATACAAAGACACGACCCAAGCACATATAAAAATTCGTGAGGTCCGCTGGTTCGTTCCGTGGCTTATTAGGTATAGCGTCTGACACGGTAAGCTAGAAGACGTCGGCGTCGGTTCGAATCCGACCGGATCGAAGGATTTTTTTCTGAGTGTTCGATCTTTGTATTAAAAATTATAAAAAAGGATGTCAAAATTATTAATACAAAGAACGAACACTTAGAAAAAATTCCTTCGACCCAGCCGGATTCGAACCGACGACTTCTAGCAACCGTGGCATACGCCATGCCAACTAAGCCACGGAACGAACCAGCGGATCTTACGAATGTTTCTATGTGCTTGCTGTGTTGTATCTGGTTTTTAAGACTGTTTAGCTGTAGCGCCATCTATGAGAAATCTATGAAAGTATTTCGTCACCCATTTAGGCACCTTTATAGCTACCAGCACTGTAATTAAGTGTTTTTATTCAATGTCAGGATGTTTCACCACCGTGATATTCAATTATAGTTTTGCGAAATTACTCCACTAGTCTGTTATAATTATTGATAGAAAGATTTCGATCTTTTCAAGATTCGATCACTTAGAAAAAAATTTCTTCGATCCAGCCGGATCCGAACCAACATCTCCGACGAATCGAAAGAATTTTAAGCAATAAAAAAACTTAAAATTATGTCAATATTTTTTAAAAATAATTCTTACATAATTTCTTTTATCGTGAAACACGCATATTTTCCTGTATTCTGGTAGAATTTGAACGCTACAAATTCATTTTCCGCTTTAATGTAGTTTCATTTTTATAATGTGTATGTACAATGAATATTTGCATACATTAGCGCGTGAGGCGTAAGGTTATATGGTTTCTTAACACTGTAATTGCCTCAGTCTCAAATAATATTTATTTCTTAGGTAAGTATTACACTCACGCTGCATGCTGAGATACAGGTTTAATCCTAGTTCGGCTGCAGAGGCTTACACAACTTGAAATGTACAATTTTCTTAGCCTTATTTTATAATTTATAATTAATTTTTTTGTATGTCTGTACATTGTTCAAAGTAAATAAACATTATTATTATTATTACTCATATAGATTAAACTCTACTGCTCATTGGTAAAGCAGATTCCCCATAAACGAGCAAGAAACTCTAGGTGTTGCTCTTTGTAACTAATATACATTTGCACATATTTATCATTTACAATATATTTCAAACACATAGATCGAGGCTACCTGCAAGAGCTAAAGGGGTCACTACCACGGATTTTTGTCCACCAAGTACTTAGAGGCTGTAGAATAAACCGGATTTTTATTATAGAAGCGTAATGACTTTGTGAAGCTTGGTTATTTTATTCCTCGTGATAATGTTATGTCCTTCAATATTTTTCATAAAAATTTTACTATTCTTCTTAAACTCAATTAATTTATAAAAATGTACTGTGACGCTTATCTACAGCCTACGTTGTATACATAAAGTTAATGATTATTTTGAGGTATGTTAACCTTAGTCATCTGGTGTAAGATTTAGAGTGGTGTAGGGTTTAGATGGATACTCTGTACTTACAGAGTATCCATCTAAAGATACAAGAATACTTGGGCCTGCTTCGTATAACTTTGCACTAACAATTTCACTTTATCTCGTACACCCAAAAACATTTGTTTTTCATTAAAGCATTTATTTTTTCCAGTTCAGGACACTGCCACTGATGTGTCGCTTACCATCATGATCATTAAAAAAACTGTGTAGTAACGATACTCTTTTTTTTAATATATATATCATAGACAAACGCTTGGCCACAAACTCACCTGATGTTTAGCGACTATGGGACGCGTTTGCCTAAAAAATGCCTATTCCACTCTAGAGAAGAGACTCTGCATCTGTATTTACGTACGCATCAGAAAGGAGGAAGCAAAGCGCTTAGTGCGAATAGGTGCGAATCCGGACCTTCTAGTCGACTGAAGGAGGAACAGTGAGGATGGAACTAAATTGAAAAGTTCCTGCACACACTCCCTGAAATGTATCCGATAGAAAACCGTCAAGCAGGCTACTTTTCTGCGATGGTAGAGATTTTGTAGCTTCGATTCCACAAGAGAATTATTGTTAATAAGTCTCTTTGCTTTTCGCTCCACCGAGTCCAAGACAGCTAACTGGTAATACTCACTGGGATGCAGAGTTGGTACATGTTGCGCAAGTCTGTCGTCCTTTAGCATATGCAGCAGTGTCGTTTTGCCTGCGTTGTCTAGCCCCAGGAACAGCAGCTTGCCCGACTTCTTCCATAGTCCTGGCACAAAAATAAATTTATTTGACATTACACATCAATACAAATAAATACCCTCATGGAATGTAGAAGCACATTACTATAACGAAGGGAAAGGTATATGAATCACATTTAGGGCAGCGCTTGTACATGCGTCTAATTTGAAGGCTCTCTTAGAGTAATAAGGACCCCTGGAGCTCTGAAGCACCAGAGAAAACTTGAGGGCTTCATGAGAAATAATAATTTTAACACATGTTCAAAATTATCACATACGAAGTCAATTTAGCTGAAGGCAATTACGTTATTTACACAGTTGTTGCTCGGTACAATCAAGTGTAGAAAGATTATGATTAAATGTTTCTATTAATGAATTATGATACGAAAATGTTTTAGAAGAAAATTGTCAAGCGTTATTATTCTCACATAGAATAATAACTTTAATGTGAAGAAGCAAACATTTGCCACACATATCTGTAGTACATAACCAAGTGAATGTTGCAATAGATTTCTTTTGCTTGACTGAATAGCTTCTTTCTCGGTTGGTTATTACTTATAAAGTGTTACATAAATGCTTACACTATCTTCCACATTGACTAAATAAACAAGATGCAATACTGCAGCGAAATTTCATTAGGTTTAGACTTTACACTAAATGGTAGTGTAAATACATATTTAGTTTATACATCGTATGATTCCTGGTCGGAATGCCTTTGATAGACAGACCTTTGAGTGGTTTTATAATAATAATTTTTCCAATACACAAAATAATAAAAAACATGCAGCGCATTAAGCTGCCATCCTTATAATAAGCAATGCAATCAACATAGCCAATATCTGGAAAGTTACCAAAACGCAAAAGCTTTGTTTATGGCAAAGAGGGCAGTATAGTGCATGTTCTGCCATAAACAGTAATCGAAAACACATAAAAAAATTAACAAACACTAACTGGCCAAAAATTAAAGATTTATGGGATATTTTGAAGTAAATATCATATATATCTGGAACAATAATAAGTGTATGTTTTCCATTCCTCAAAATAGTTTTAAATGCCAGTCTTAAAAATAAATTAGACATTTAGAACACAATAGAATATAGAAAGTCAAATCTATTATAAGACGTCATGTATAAAATTATTGACAATTTTTATTTTGATTCTTATTAATGTTTCCCACAACAATTTTAAATTCTCGCCTGTTCTATGGCCTATAAGATATTTTTTTTAAATGGGACAGTGGGTCAGTCTCAGATTCAAGAATCTTACTACAATTAACCACAATTGGGATTATTTTGGTTACAATCCACATACGAGTACCTGTAATTTTGTGTGCTAGATTCAGATCTTTGCTATTATCATTTTTAGACTGGCTTGTTTAGGGTTTGTGCTATTGGTATCTATCATCACTAATAAGCGGACTTTTTGGAGTGTATGGTGGGTACACCATGAAAACCACGGCCACCTTTTTTTTATAATATCAAGTGACAGGACAAACAAGTCGTGCGCCTGATGGTAAGCAACACCCTTGTCTATAATACTTGCAGTACCACTCAGTCGCAAAGATCTGACTGCCACTGCGCCCGCCACCCTGAGACGTAAGTTGACAAGTCTCATGTGCCTTTTCACCAGCACTCTGACCCTTCAAGACCGGAACACAGTAATGCTGATATTACTGCTTGGCTTCAGAAATAGCTAAGGTGGCAGTACTTCCTTGGACAAACTCTTTCACAAGAAGCTCCAGTGCTACTAAATGTGTATAATGAAGTAAACTTATTGAGTTGCAATAAGTTCTGCTCCATCCTAGAGGTCAAGCATAAGGTTGGTGACTTGCTAGTCACCTAATTCATCAGGAAGTTGTTTCAGAAACAACTGAAAAATATCTAAAATTAAAAATAGACAAATTGTAAGGCCCATGTTGTCACGTGATTATTTTTAAACAATAAAAACCTTATAACGGTAAAACAATTGCCAATTACACAGAAATAATTATGTATATGCGTTTCATTCTATAGCAGAAGAGAACCCTGTGAAAGAGTTCGTCCAGGAAATTACACCACTTATGGGTTAGGTGGTGGGCTACGTGGTGAGTTAGGGCGTGGGTTAGGGGGTGGGTTAGGATTTGGGTTGGGGGGTTAGGGTTTGAGTTGAGGGGGATTAGGGTTTGAGTTGAGGGGGGGGGTAGGATTTGGGTTGGGGGGGTTAGGGTTCGGGTTGGGGGGGTTAGGGGGTGGTTGTGGGGGTTAGGGATGAGTTAGGGGGTGGGTTAGGTGGTGAGTTAGGGTCTGTGTTGGGGCGGGTTAGGTGGTGAGTTAGGGTCAGTGTTGGGGCGGGTTAGGGGTGTTTTAGGGGGTGAGTTAGGGTTTGGATTAGGGAGTTAGGGGCGGGGGCCCCCAATCGGTCCCCAACCGGCTCCCCAACCGGCCCCCCAACCGACGCCCCAACCGTCCCCCCAACCGACCCCCAAACCCCCCCAACACACCCCTAACCCATATTCGTAATGACATTTTTATTCGGTACTTTCGGTTTTAATTGTTAGTTTCAATTGTTTCTCAGAACAATTAATACAGAATAAATTAATTGCAATTAATTAAATTGCAATTAAAATCAATTCAATTGAAATCAATTGCAATTGATTTCAATTGAATTGATTGTTTAATCTGATTGAAATTTAATTGATTAACGCCCAACACTGGGTGCTGATGTGATATTACAAGCACATGGGACTTGTCAACTTATGTCTCAGGGTAACGAGCGCACTGGCAGTGCCCCTCAGATTGTTGCGATTTAAAGCTCTGAGTGGTCATACAACTGTTTTCCACGGGCGTGTCGCTTAGCGCCAGGCTACAGGCACAACTTGTTAGTCTCTTTATTCTTGGTGTTACTTTTATTTATTTATAATTTGTATCTTACTTTCTATTGCACTGTTAGTTAATTTATTAGTAGTTACAAGGACATGATAACCTGTGAGACAGGCCTAGCCTCAGGAATCTATATAAATTCTCTGTACACAAAATGCTCTGCAACAGAGTTGTGCATGTCCAAAGTAGGCTTTATAAGTCTTCATTCATACATGCACTGTTGTTACTATTTTTTATTTTTATTTAATTACATCTTCAAGCCAAGACTGATGAATATCTTTAGCTTTGTCTTGATTTCTTCTGTTTGGGGCATGTGTTTCCCTAGGAGTGAGCACTGTATACTCATAAAAACAATGGCTTGAAAATCGGCTAAATATAAACATATTGAAACAATATTTTCACTTCTACTTGCTATTAATTGCATTTCAGCGAAAATGACACTGTGACTCAAAAAAATAAATTACACAATTTGGTTTAATTGTATGACTGGAATACTATAGTATATAAATCAAATCATTAGAAATAAATGAGATTTTTCGGATATTGTACAATTATTGCAATTTTTGTCTTCATTAACACAGAAACATTTTTCCCTATAATGTTAGCAACAATTTTCGCGGTTATTTCTGCGTACTTCTAAAAAAAGTTATTACTGTCCAAGAAAACACAATTTACGAATTTTAAAACAGTGATAAGTGATTGCATGGAAGTATACGAGAGGCGTTCAGTGTATTCTCGGTATCGGGGTGATTAACTAATGTTAAGAGTAAATTAATTACCTCATTAGTTAAAGACACTCTTTAAGGGTGTAAATATAAAATTTCATGTAATTGTCATCATTAGTATTCAAGTTATCAATACGAGAAGACAACTACAATGACAGACGCCACAATGTTGACGAAAATCGAGCACCGCGCAGTGATTAAATTCCTTACAAAACAAGGAAAGACTCAAAAAGTTATGCATGAAGAAATGGTGGCTGTTTATCAAGATTCTGCTCCTTCATTATCTACTATTCAGAAGTGGTCTAGTGAATTTAAACGGGGTAGAGAGAGTATTGAAGACGACCCCCGTGCTGGAGGGTAGGTAAGTGCCACTTCTGAAGAAAACGTCAAAATTGTCGAGAAACTTGTATTGGAAGATGCCCGTATCAGAGTGAAAACATTAGCAGAAAAGACTAAACTATCCGTGGGTACCATTCACACTATCCTTCATGAACATCTGAATCTTTCAAAAGTCAGTGCAAGATGGGTGCCGCGAATGCTCACGCCGCTTCAGAAACAAGTTCGAATTGAGTGCAGTAAGGGGTTTTTGGAGCTCTGCAGCGAAAATACGAGTGGAATTTTTGAACGCATTGTCACCGGTGATGAAACGTGGGTTCATCACTATGATCCTGAGAGTAAGCAAGAGTCCATGCAGTGGCATAAGGAACAGACCCACCGAAGAAGTTTAAAGTCTGCCCATCCGCCGGAAAACTCATGGCCACAGTGTTTTGGGATTTTAAGGGAATTTTACTGATTGAATACACAAAAATGGGTCAAAGTATTACTGCCGCAGCTTACATAAACAGCCTACGCAATTTGAAGGACGCTATAAAGGAAAAAAGACCTGGAAAAGTGACCGCTGGTGTCTTGCTTCTTCACGACAACGCGCCGGTTCACACAGGGCGCGTTGGCAAGGCTGCTGTGAGGGATTGTGGATTTGAAGAAATCACTCATCCACCCTACAGCCCTGACCTGGCCCCCAGTGATTACTTTTTGTTCCCAAACCTAAAGAAAGATCTTCGGGGTAAGCATTTTTCCGACGATGAAGAGTTGAAGGAGGCAATTAATGAACATTTTTCAGGCAAAGAGGAAAAATATTTTTTCGAGGGCATCGAAAAGTTATTTGCCCGATCAAATAAGTGTATTGAGGCTATGGGAGACTATATTGAAAAATAAATTTAATTTAGAATTTTTTGCCTACTATTTCATACCTATACCGAGAATACATTGAACGCCCCTCGTATATGGTGAGGATTTATAAAAGTTTCAATAAATACTAATTTCAATTCCCACCGGTCACAATGAAACATATATATTTTTATTTTAACCAATAAATATGCAATCTATTGACATTAGCTTTTGTAAAAGTAACAATTATGGTAAGGGTCATTGTTTTGGCTTGGTTGGCCATTGTGCACGTAAATAGGAATGTAAATATTAAGATTTGGAAATCTGTCCCACCCATCACAGCAAAAGGTGGGACACACTTCTAAAGGTTTTTACTTTGACTAAATGTTTGTATTTTCATGGATTCCAGTTTTTACAAAGTTTACTAGGTATAACAGTTGCTTTAATTTCGGAGTTAAACATTTGATGTGTTAAATTGTGACAATTGGGACACCATTTTGTGACAGGTGGGACAACTTACATTTGAATACATAGAATTTAAAAAAATACACTGTTTATATGTAGATCCATCATTTGTAAGCAAATTTTTTATAATTCTTCTCATAATTAAGACATTTTAACACATAAAAAAGACAATTAAAAAATGACAACATGTTTCCTGATGATGATTTAGTATCAGGGAATTCATAAAAAGTCTGGTCTCCACTAGTTTTAACTAAATATTCGAGCAAAATTTCTAAAATTTGATATAATTATGTTGATACAATACATAGTCTTCAAGGATGCGGCAGGATTTTTCAAATTTATTAACGCATTTTACATGCATGACCGATTTCATGTCGTCCTAGACAGTGTTTCAAGAAGAATAATAGGATTACTTTATCCGTTCTTTAATTCTGGTTTTTTTTTTATGTTGTCTTAATAAGACAAAAATTATAAAATATTTGCTTATTAACAATGGATCTCATATTAAACAATGTCATTTTATTAATTCTGTGTATTCAATTGTAACTCGTCCCACCTGTCACAAAATCATGTCCCACCGTCACAATTTAATATATTAACTTCCTTCGAATTTATCTCAGTTATTAAGTGTATATATAAAATAGAACCTTAACATTCAAGTTATCACATATGAAAAACTTGCTGAAAAAAATATTAATAGTTTTCTTGATCTTGGCAATGATGCCATCAACTCAAACAGGCGAGTCGTGAGTGTCCCAACCCGTCACACTTAGAAAAGTTTTGAGTATAAATAATGTCATAAATTTATGTAAATAAATAGTCGCAGTTGAATTGCATATCTGGCTTCATGATATTTTCATTTTAAGTTCTGATTAAGCAATGGTTAGGGAGAAATTACTTAAAGTTCAAGAAAAAAGGAGTCAAAATGTCCCACTCTTAACGTTGGAATGGCCCATGAGACTTTCGTAAAGTTATTGTGCAAAAGCATTGTTTTTAACTATTGTTTAAATTATAAGTCTTATACATAAACAGCAGTCTGCTTATTGACCTGGTTTACAAAATTATCACCCTGGATACTGGTGGGTACATCAATAGTACAAATGTATTATTAGAACAACATAATAGCATTGTTTACTTTAATAATAGAGGGTCACAAGACTCTCAAGTTTATGTATAAATTTAGTTAATAAATACTGTTCTATTTTTGTTACAAAGACATCCAGATTTTGATCATGGCATGTCTGTAGAGTTTCAAAGGTTAATTTATCATAGTAAAGATTATAGTTTGGTTTATATTTAAATCCGAAGGGTTTTAATTTAAAAGCGTAATCTGTATTAACTTACCTAAGAATCCAAGTACGCCAGTAAACCAGTCCAAGATAAACATTTTGAATCTGGAACGTATGAAATTACATTTTTTATCAGCACATCATCATCTTCTTCACAAAGAACAGAATATTATACATGACTTGCAAATGTTATTGTTATCAACTGCGTCGGGTCGTCTGCCAACTGAATATCGCCCAGTCCAGTTGTAATACGACGCACATGCCGTATCACTACTTTCAGGCACCTCCAAAACGTAGTACGATTGCGGAATTGAGTAACATGAATGACAGAACGTCACTCGTACTTGAACTTTGAGCAAATATAACACAAAAGCACTAACGAAATACTCACTTATTAAATTTGAACTAGATTAACTAATCCTAAAGGAAGTTTATCACAATATTTCCCTCTTATTTGCAATATGTTACGTCGCTAAAACCGACGATTTTTCTCTGCGATGTGAATGCGATGAAAATAAGAATCTCACAGACCAAAAACTAATGAATCTGTTGGCAATGACGTACATGCGTGACTTCCGGAAGTTGTCACTTTGATTAACGAATGCGATCAGCTTCTAAACACTTCACACTCTTTTCCCAATGGGGTAAGCAGAGACCACAACCTTCTAATTACACACACCTTTCGCCTAATTAACTCACATCATTCCTTGCATACATAAGATTAGCACCTATATGATTCATTTATTACGAATATTAAAACAAGTAAATTAAAATTCTTTACAAAAAATTAAAATGAAGTTTATCTAATGTAAGTCAAACGGTTCTCTACATTTAATTAATGATTAATGTTTTGAACTCATGAAATATTTTATGTAATAAAAATAAATCTTATATCTAATTAAATATCAGTTTTATTTGAACGCATCTAACTTATACTGACGAAAATACGACTTCCGGAAGTTGGATTTCAAAATGATGAATGCGTTCAGTTCGCATGTAATAGGTTGATTTTAAATAATAATGTCAATTAATAATTTTTGGGCTTTCAGAAAAAACACCCAAAAGATAATCACAGACAAATAGGTTTAATAAAATATTTTAAGCAGAATATTTGACTGTAACAATGTATATAATCAGAATAAGCCAAATACATGAAAATATTATATTGAACGTATCTACTCATTTTGCAAGACAATCAAATAGAAATAATCCTGAACCCACTTATGTAAAGAGAAAACTAAATACTTCATCAAATTCACTGCCTCAAGAAAAAGAAACGCTTATCAAAATGCACATGATGAGAAACGAGACGATGTGACTTATCATTTTTGAACTTAATGCACAAATAGCTTGTGCTTTAGCGATGGAACGAGTTCATTTCAAATTTTCAACTCGAGTTACTCGAGTTGAGGGTTATTGCCGACCCGATTTGCAACTCAAGTTGACTCGACTGGGTGTCTGACAGAGAAATCGCGAGTCGCGCGAGTAAAACCCGAACTGAAACGATTCACCGAGTTAGCCAATAACGAGAAAACTTTTTGCTTTAAATTTGTTTAGTTCTTGTATATAATTAGATAAAACGTTATAGAGAAGTTGGTAACACAAGTACTATAATCATCACGTTTGGCTCAATTCCAAAATACCCAGAGCCATAAAAACCATTAAAAAAAATCATCAGCTTTTCTTTCTTGTTTTTGACAGCTTTCATAGCTAAGGTATTTTTAAAATTTTTGTGTTGAAATTGTATTAAATATGTGGAAATTAGTGAAATAAATGAATTGCCAACTAAATAAATACGTGTTCTATTACTTAAATTGTTAATGAGGCAAACTGTGCGTGGATTACTCTGATTTTTAAAGGTTATATAGTGTTCAAGAATTATTGTCGTTTTCAGGCTAAATCATGGCCCCTAGGAAAAACAAAGTTGCGAAAGAGGAGGTGCAGGTGACGCTCGGTCCCCAGCACTTGGTAGGCGAGACCGTGTTCGGAGTTGCTCACATTTTCGCCTCTTTCAATGACACATTCGTCCACGTTACGGACTTGTCTGGCCGGGAAACCATCGCTCGTGTTACCGGTGGAATGAAGGTGAAGGCTGATCGTGACGAAGCTTCTCCCTACGCCGCTATGTTGGCTGCTCAGGTCAGTTATATACTTGTTGTCGATTACATAGATTTTAAGGTTATGTTTGGATGTAAACAAAGTTTTCTTCGAAGTTCCTGGAATTTTCGTGCTATAACTAAAAAAAGAACTTGAAAAATCTGTATCTAATTTGAATAAAGAAATTGATACAATTTATAGGCACATTTCACAACATGGAAATGCCACTATTCTGCACTCAATAATTTATGAATATTAATTTTAGGATGTCGCCGAAAAGTGCAAAACCCTCGGCATTACAGCGCTACACATTAAACTGCGTGCAACTGGTGGCAACAAGACAAAAACCCCTGGACCTGGTGCCCAGTCTGCACTCAGAGCCCTGGCTCGTTCCGGTATGAAGATTGGGCGCATTGAGGATGTGACCCCGGTGCCCTCAGATTCCACTCGTAGGAAGGGTGGTAGGAGAGGACGCAGGCTGTAAACAGTTAGTTATAAGATACTGTAAACTTCCAATAAAATGTTTGCAGTATTTGTGTATTTTATTTACAACAAATTGGTGTTGACTAAATTGCTATAATGGAATCAAATAACCATACAGCCTTCCCTGCTTTTTTTTAAATTATCATAACTAATGAAATGACAATTTTAGAGAAATTGACTTTTTATTAACCTATCTGAGATCAGCTGAATGGGATGTATAACCCCCTCAATTGGTTTTTTTAAATATTTTAATTTGTTTCAGTTGTATTGTTAAGCACAATTAGTGTAGTTGACATTTTTTTTACTTTTGTTACCAAAATGAAAATGCATTAGTTTGGCAAGGAGGAAGTCCCAGTGCCCTTCGTCTGTACAAAATTTTATCGAAAAAATTGATTGTCGCAAGGGCTGGCAGCTACCTTGCCCAACGCATTAGTATAGTAATACAAAGGGGGACCACTGCCAGCATCTTGGGCACCTTGCCGCCCTTGGGGACCCAATTTTATTCATATAATTTCAAAATCCTAGTTTTACTTTCTAGTAGTTAAGCTTTTATTGTCTTTTTTACCTTACCTGTATATTATCTTAATTAAATACTATTGATAATTTGCCAACCAAAAATTTGACATTTCCATAGTATCAAAGTGTGCATTGTCCCCTACTCTGTCGAATACTGGCTCAAATCTCTTAGGGTCGTATTCTAGAACTCTACTCGATGCTCAAGTCAGGACTTGAGTATGATTCAAAGCACTAGAAATCATACTCAAGTCCTTGCCATTAGAGTCGTATTTCCAGTGCTTGAAGTCATATGCAAGTCTGCTCAAATCCTGACTTGAGCATTGAGTAGAGTTCTGGAATATGACCCTTAAAATCCAATATTATATTGCTCAAATAAAAATCTATAGTTCAAGTCTGATAAGCCTGAATATGATATGTATGGGAATGGATGGAAGAACATCTTATGTTTTCATTTTTGGTTTTATTATTATTATTATCTTTTTTAGACTCCTCTCGCATGGCGTAAACGATAAATTATTATTGTTCTTGGTAATTACTGTAATTGGATATGTCTAATTAGAATAAATCAATAAAAAATATAATAAATCAACTATACTAATATGTGATATTGTCTTCCCTAGAATATAATTACCCTTGCTTGGTTGGACTACAAATGCAAGAATAAGTTTCTGTAGAAAATTGATATATCTAAATGAATTCACATGTGTTCAAAGTTGGTATGACGTAATGGGCTGTTTTCTGCAATTCAACCATTTTGCACTTGGTAAAGTGTACACTTATATTTTCTAGCAAAGACCAAATAAAGTAGGTGGTTTGGTGACTAAGATTTATATAAAGTTATTTGACTGAACCACTATTTGAATTGATTGCAATTAATATTGACGTTGAATGAATACGTGATGTCGGTTGTACAGAAGACTAAGAATAAGTTACATAAAACTAGCTTTTATTGTCTACATTTAATTTGGCTAACAACATTTTTATATTAATTAAAAATTTCTAGCACCATTATTATTTAACTATGCTTCTAGCATAGTTAAACTTTGCAATATATCTTGTTAGCTGCTTGACATTTGAGCACAGTGCTAGGGTTACCATCAGTTCGGACTTGTCCAGACATAAAATTTTCTTGGAGCCTGTGCACACGCATAATTTTATTATATTAATACGCGCATATGACGCGTGTAAACGCGATTCAACCTTTGCACATGTTGACAAATTCAATGGCACTAAACGCGCGTATATGCGCCGCAGACGCGCTGTAGTCGCGCGTATGTATCGCGCATTTTGATAAGAGTTAGTGTTGATTTAAGTTTCGTTTGTTAATTTCAGTTAGTTTTTGAAATGAAGTGACTACATGAAATTCTAAGTGTAAACTCCAGCCGAGTATATAATCTTGCTTGCAACGCGATGTTTGGGCATTTGAATCGATTCAAACGCGATACAGAGGAGCTTCGAACGCGCTTCTCGCCGCGCGTCTGTCGCGATCGATACAAACGCAACAATCTGCTTTTTTTGCCTCTACCTCGCCGTAAACGCGCGTTCGTGCAACGCGTTTCGTTGGCGCTTATAAAATACGCCGTGTGCATATGACATTTTCGATTTTATTGTGTTTTGCAAATGTCCAGATTTGAGTCCAAACTATTCGAATTCGGAATGGCAACCCTACATAATACAAGACGTATGTTTAATTATAGTTTTCGTTCGGTGAATAAACCTCTCTCTAGCCTCCGTAGCATGGCTACGCATGATAGTCGCGACACGCGCGATAAAATTGATATAAGCGCGCGCTATTGGCTGTCTCAATCAGATCTAATTTAGATAGCCAATAGCGCGCGCTTATTTCAATTTTATCGCGCGCGTCGCGACTATCATGCGTATCTACGCTACGGGAGCTGTTCATATTTGCAGATGTGGCCTTATTACATCAATGGTGTAATCGGTGTAATTTCTTAAGTCGATAAAGACTGCTTGGAAGGCGCTGGCGCGAGGTTCATGTCCACAAAATGTGTTTACATACTGAAATATACTACTTATGGCTGTTAAGTAGAATAAGGTGAAAAAAGGACCGAAGTAGCTGGGTGCATTATCAACGTGGCATTCAAATGAAACAAATATTTTCTGAGAACATGGTATGTTTTAATTCAAAATCAAAAAACATATATTAATATTTCCAATAAATAAATATCCACTATTTAATAATATACATAATAGGTACTATGCTTTACTAAGATAAACACTATATTACATGCAACTTGATAATTTTGATGTATAGTAAATTATCTTCATGGGTTAACATTCATAATAACAATTAATTCATTTAATTCAAGTTACATAGAAAAACGTTAAAAAATTATTGCACTATGGGGTGTGGCAGCTGAACTGCAGATGTTGGCATCAATTTTCACACTTATTCGTGATAGAAATTCCATGTACGTAATAGAAACTCTATACCTAATAAACTTTTTAAAATAAAAATTAATTGATATCACACGTAATCGCTTTGTTTCTGTCGCTATTTCTGTTTCCTTTTTTATGTAATTTTTAAAGCTTTATATTTATGTCGAACAGAGTGCCGGGACACAGAAATATATGATGGAAACGCGGGCACTCCCCGCGTCTCGGCAACATGAGATCATCAGTATCAGAACGCGGCTCGCAGAGCTCCTCCCAATTTTATAACAGCTTTTCTATATTTATGTCTTTTTAAAGCCATATTAAAAGATAGTGTATACTTTTTATTCAATGTAAAATACAAAAAACGTAAAATCGGGAACAAAATACCAATATATACTATGCAACGACAAAACCACATAATAAAACCATTATGCTTACAGAACACAAAATTTCCGTTAACGACATCGATCACCGATCACTACGCAGGAGTACGAGTTCGCAGCGCTACGGCGGGGGCGGGGGCGGGCGCGGCCGCGCGCGGGGCTACAGGCCGGGCTTGAGGCGGATCTTCTTCAGCAGCGCGGCGGGCGGCGCGTGCAGCGGGCGGCGCTTGGCGGGCGCGGCCGGCGCGGCGGAGGGGGCGGAGGGGGCGCCCGGCGCCTCGTCCCAGGCGCCGCCCAAGTCGTCCGACGACGACGACGCCATGGCGCGGCAGCGCGCGCCGCGCAGCCCGCGCGGGCCGCGCGCGAAGCCGCGCTTGCCCAGCTTGGAGTGCGAGGCGCGCGGGTTCTCGCTGTCGTCCGCCGAGCGCCGCGCCGCCTTCGCCTTCACCACGCCGCCGATCTGCGTCTTGCTGGCGTTCGGCTTGCGGATGGCCAGCACGTTGCGCCGCTTGGCCGCCAGCGACTTGGCCTTGGGCTCGGCGTCGGGGAAGCGGCGCGGCGCCGCGGCGCCGGCCTCGGCCTTGCGCGCCAGCTTCACGTTCAGCGCCAGGATGTCGTGGCCGGAGCGCGCGGCGCCGCTCAGCGACGGCGAGCGCCGCCCGCCCGCGAACGCGTTCTCCTTGCGCTCCTCCTTCTCCTTGGCGGCGATCTTGCCGCGCGTGTACAGCGGCACGCGCGTCGGCGACGTCGCCTTCGGCCGCAGCCGCGACGTCGCCAGCTGGAACGACCGCTGCGGTTAGCGAAAGGAAAAGCGAACGGGACGGGTACTCGCGATGGGGCGATGTCTACTTTAACGAATTCACTCGATGGATCGGTGTCGTGACGCTATCGCTAGTTTAGTGGTTGCGGAATGGTGTTATTCGACTGAGACGGGACAACATTTTAACTCGTCTTACCCTGACAATTTGGACAGCTTTACTAAGTGGTTTAACACTGAAAATTAAATACGACATCGTTACGTAAACAAAAGGAAAAAAGCTTTACACGCGCGGAATGATCGATTCCGACCCTGATCCCGACAACGACCGAGAAGGCGAAAGGCGACGAGACCTACCTGCGGGCGCATGGTCCTGGTGTGCGCGCGCAGCCAGTCGCGCACGGCGGCGAGGTTGCGGTGCTCCGAGCAGGGGATGCGGGAGTTGGGGTGCTGGCCCGTCAGGTCCAGGATCGACGCGCCCAGCGACCGGCCCACCTGGACCAACACTCATGTTGTGAACGATGTTCGCTTACAAAAACGACTTTACAATTTTATTCGCGATAAGAATAAGCATAAGAAATTACAAATTATCAGTGGGCATTAAGCATGTTCGCAAAACAAATAGCCTTTTCTCGCGCGTATAAGCGCCGCAGACGCGCTGCAGTGAATCGATTCAAACGCGCGCAAACATCGCGTTGCAAGCAAGAAGCTCATACAGAATTTCATGTAGTTGCTTCAATTAAAAAATTAACTGAAATTAACAACAAAGCTAAAATGAAAACTATCTCGGCACATATACGCGCGTCGTTGGCGCGGGCGGGACGGGAAACGAAATATCGGTATTTTCAGGAACCGGTACCACTAGTACCGGTACATGAGATGCTACCGGTGTAGATTATACCTGTATTTTAGCTACCGGTACCTTTTTACCCTTGCTACGGTACCGGTAGCTAAGATGCACTAAATAAAAGTAAACATAATTTTATCCATCGCTTACTTTCACGCTGAAGATTCACTCAACGCAAATGTCAATGCAATGAAAACATACTTTTGGGCGCGTCGCGCCAAATTTAACTTATTAATTAATTCCTGTGTGTCATCTGTAGGGCTAGCACGACACGACGCGACTTGCGCGAAAGCGACATAAAGCGCGAGATACTGCTATTCTCGCATAGAGTTCTCGCGCACGTCGCGCCCTGTCGTGCTAGCACTACTGCAGCCAAACATAGAAAACAAGCAACGTCGCGGGAACCGCCTTTGCGTACCTTTAGTAACTAAACATAGTTCTCTATTGGTACCGATTTTCGGACATAATGCATGAATTTTTGTTGCCGGTAATAAGCTCTTGTTTATACATTTCTTACCGCGGTATGACTTCAAAGTTCTGAGTCTCATGTAGAGTGTTAGGAACACAAGTATGGTCTATTAACAACATGCCAAGAGTTGCCGACAGCAATTTCTAATTTAACCTTTTGTCATTAGATACTGGTGTATAGTATACAGGAGGACGTTAATTACTATACGAGCCAACTTTAAAAGTTGAAAAGGGGTTCTTCTGGAATTTAACATATATTTTTGTCAATGGGATATGAGCATAGAATATAGAACAGCTGCTGTGCTCTAATTTTCGGGTGTAACGTAATTAAGTTAACACCTCGTATACTTCATTTCATGCATCCCTATAAGGCATTTTAAATACTCTGTAAAAAAAAATATTTACGAACCATGTGCTGACATTGTGGCCAAGTAACTCAAAAACTCCTCTATTGGGTTTACAAATTACTGTAGTTATTTTCTTGAAACACATAACACGATTTAGAAAAAAAAATATTGCCAATTTTGTTAAAGTACGTGGACTATCTCACTATAGACAAATAAGACAAGTAGTACAACTCCATAGAAACGTAGCAGCTTGGCTTGCATGCGTGCACGCCCGCCGCGCGCCGTGTAAGCACACATCGCGTAACCTCGCGCGTTGCACAATGCAATTGTTATAGAAGCGTTCCGTGTTTTAACCCGTTCATGGACAGTACTTAAAAAAGTACCGCACACAAAAATGTCCCTATTCTTTTTTATGTCGTAGTGCTTATAACTATTCAATACAAGCACTACGACAGATAGAAAAATATACCGTACAGGTAGTAAAGACTCTGTTTCCTTACTACAATTAATTATTGATATTTTTATACGTGATAGTGGTAGAAATATCAATACGTCATTGTGTACCAACTGCATTTAAGAAATGTTAATAAAAAAAAAATGTTATTTCAATATAGTACGAGAATACACGAATACCTTTTTTTTTTCAAATTATGTTTACAGCCTATATGTATAACTACAATAATAATGTAACAACTCTACGCTACGAGGGAGACGTATAGCCATTGACGCTCCGAACAGGCAGGAGTTGAACGACTTGTCTTAAGGAGAGGCCACACTGCGAGGGAAGCTAAGCTAAGTTAGCTTAGCTCACGTAGTCGCGGCATGTTTAGTAGCAGCAGAGCGCCTTGTGAAAGAGTTGGTCCAGGGAAGTACTGCCAGCGTTCCCGTAGTCCCGGCAAAAGGTGCAGGGACGGAACACCGAGGGGTTTTAGTCGGTAGGAGTCCGACATGATCTCTCTCAGGCACATGGGACTTGTCAACTTATGTCTCAGAGTGACGGGCGCAGATGCAGTGCCCGTCAGATCTTTGCTTACCACCAGGCCCACGACCGCGAACTAAGCTAACCAAGCTAACTGAACGACGTGGGCTAACTACCCAACGATCCCGCGGAGATAAGTAGACACTGTCGCCCTTCATCCTCGTGCGGGGAAAGACTAGCTATAGTCCCGTATTTTCTTAGGTTAGCTTTGCATGTAGCTATATGAGTAGCTTAGCTTCTCTCGCGGTGTGGCGTCTCCTTTATTATTCTATGGCTTTACTATGTCATTTGGTCAACCATATTTTAGGCAAATTACTATTATTCATTCACTCAATAATTTAATATTACTGTTATTATTATTAACCCTGAAGAGGTTTTGATTGAAAAATTTAGCGTATTGTAAAAATACCTACATAAAAAGTTATGTTTATATATTAATTATAACATTTTTATAATAAAAAACCGATCTCAAAAGTTCGTGGAATTACATCTATTTGCAAAGTTTTATCGGAAAGAGCGCGAAACCGGATTCATCCCCTAGTTTGCCAGTTCATATTTAAAATGGGAGCAATACTGAGGTAACACTACAGTAATATACAGACAAAAATAAAACAGTCGAATTGAGAATCTCCTTTTTTAAAGTCGGCTAAAAAAGTAATATATACAATAACGTACATTTAAACTTGAATCTCCAATTTTACTTAATTGCATACAGTGGACCGATGCCTTGTTGGTTTGGTGTATTTACAATACAGTGTTCGTATAAAAGCGGCAGTGAAAAAATCTGGAGGTTTTATAAACGGTCTTAATGTAGAACAAAGCTTTTACTACTTATCTACATGATGTAATAGTCATCACAATGCACAGAGCCAGCGTACATTCAATTTCATAGAAATATATAATATAAAGTGTCCTTAATTTTATTTTTTCTTAATTTTTTATTGTGTTAATATGAATAAAGTTTGTTCTTTATAATTCTGGACTGATTGGATGTTGATAAAATGATAAAATTTTGCGAAAATGGCACCTGAAAATTTTTTCAATGTTTTTGATAGATTGTTCTAAAATTTACTTGTAAAATGAAAACTTTTGCTGTTGTCACCGCAGGAGTAATGGATTATGTGATGTATTGGTATAATTCCCCAACAACAAAAAGCACATCAGCAAATGTTTTCGTTTTATAAGTACATTTTAGAACAAACTATCAAAAACAACGAAAAAAATCTTTAGGTGCCTTTGTATTTTCACAAAATTATGATCATGTTGGTGAACTCGTTATTGCTTATCAGCATCCAATTGTTGTTATCCATCCAAGCGTAGGATATTTTACATCATAAAAAAATTTATCGATCGGTTTTAAATAAATAAATATTAGACCACATCACTACGTTGCTCTGATCCCAAAGTAAGTAGATAAAGAGCACTTGTGTTATGGAAATCGGAAACAACGACGGTATCACAGACACCCAGACCCGAAACAATGTTAATTTTCTACACTGACCCGGCCGGGGATCGAACCCGGGACTTCAGAGATGGCGACACCATGAAAACCGGTGTGCAAGTCACTCGACCACGTTGGTCGTCAAAACTTATTTTTTTTTGTTTTAACTCTGCAAAAGGTTGAAAGTGATTTATTTGAGCTATTATTAAATCGGAATAATATCAATAATTCCTAAAATAAAAAAAAAGGTAATAACGAATAAATACATAGCTTCAGGTTACTTTTTTAAAGTGACAATTGGACATAGTTAAGCAAAAAGGATTCAATCCACAAAATTATCAAGAAATTAGTTATACGTGCCAAACGGTTCCTAAAGTCTAACCTCTTAGATCAGCAAAAAATCCAACATATAAATAAATATCCCTACAGTTACATAACATTGTCAGTTTTGAAAATAAAACAAGAGTGAGAAACATTTTATAAACTTCAAACTGCCATATCTCGAAAGTGACTGGATGTGCATTGGATCCTTTTTGTTTAACTATATACTTAAAATAATTTACAGAATGAACCCTTTTTCGAATTGATCTGTTCAAGAACTAATCCTTAGCAGAAGATATTTCGGATATCTTAAAAAATTGTACAAGTTTTGCAAGTCGGTCCTTTCATGTAATTGTCGTCAAATATGTTTTTGTACGATATAAAATGATGGAATGTCCACCGGCTCCAATCCCGCAAACTAGATATCTAAGTTAATACCACTTACAAAATATGTCAATATGCATAACAAAATCTGTACGTGTTACAGGTCTACATTATATTTCATATTTGTAAGCTGTTTCATATCGAAAGGTTGTTTCATTTAATCGTAAAAAGCAAAGCATTCAAACGGATTTCCTTAAAGAGGGATAAGATATTAATATACATCTTATCCCTTGTATAAAGTTATATTTAAAATACTAACAATTTAGCAGGATTATATTACTAACATCATAAGCAACAACTTTTTCACCTCACTAGCTCGGAAGGCTTTCTTTCTTATTAGAAATCTGCGCGTGAAAGCGTTTTTTGCTTTGTTTTGAAATTCGAACTTGACGATGGGCTGTGATGCAACCTTACTTTTTCTATCGATGAAAAACATATGAAAAAAACATAATGACGCATTCAACTACGGGATTTGTCGTTTTTACGTTTGTACATTACTTATTTATGTAACATAAATCCGTTGGTATATTTTATTCTTATTATTGTTGACATTAAATTGACAATGATAACTAATTGTCTTTATTAAATTATTTTAATTCGTAGGAAGAACTAAAATAATTTCAATAATCACTTAATCATACAAAATTATAGAAATACAAGCAAGAATAAAAATTGATGTGGTGCAAATTCAGAAGGCATCCGAAGGTAAACTTTTTCTTTTGACTAAAAAAACTGATGATGATGAATGATGTTTTATTTTCTTTTTCGCTCGGCAGCAAAGTTGTACTGCATCTCGTGCCTTGAAACCCTCGCTACGCTCAGGAATCTATTTTTGAACCACTCGCTTCGCTTGTGGTTCAATCTTAGCTTCTTTCGTTTGCTCCGGTTTCAATACAAGCACTCGCGTCAAACAACAACTTTGTAGCCTTGCATAACAAATAACTATTGCTCTATGATTTTTTAACCAACTTCAAAAAAGAGGAGGTTCTCAATTCGACTATGTTTTTTTGTATGTATGTTACACGATAATTTGTGAACCGATTTTCATGGTTCTTTCATGGTCCCATTTAAATTTGAAGAAAATATTCAACCTCTAAGGGTGGCAAACTTTGGGATGAATGACTTTTGAGGTCGATTTTTTAGTACTCTGTACTGTTTTTACAAAACGTAATATATTTCGACCCCTCCTACGTAAAGTATCGTATGTCGAAATTGTCAAGTTTACAGGGGAGCGTTAAGTTTTGAATTCACTGAAATGAGTATGTGACTTGACACACGTGACTTTAGCATAGAAATGCTAAATTAAATTGTTAAATGATAAAATAAATTGTGGTCGTTCATCTAACCGATATTAGGATTTTAATTATAAAATATAGATTTTAATTATAATATATAGAGTACTAATTCTGTGTGAGTTTTGCCGAATAAAACTAAAAAACCGAGAAATAAAGTCACGTGTTACGCTCATTTCCGTGAATTCAAAACTTTAAAACGCTCCCCTGTAAACTTGGCTATTTCGACATACGATACTTCACTAAAAATCGATCGATTTATCAAAAATAAATTTAAGTTTTTCTGGTACTATCTGACACTTTTTAGATCTATATTTGGCAGTAAACATCTCCCGCGTGCTTTCTTTTGCTACAGAGCGATCTATTTAATTTATTTTTATAGGAAAGTAGAATCTGATGAATTATTAAAAATCATGGAACAAAAGTTGTTGTCTATGATGTTAGTAATATACTCTTGGGATGTTGTTAGTATTATACAAATAACTATGTATATAAGAACTTAATTTCTTATCCCTTACTTAAGTGTCGATCATAACCAATGGTCGGAAAAAGGTGTTCCACAAACATAGATACATGTATAGATATAGCTACAAGGAGCGACACAGAGTTGTTAAAACCACCAAATATTAATTAAATTATTTTAAATCCGACTTCGACTACCTAGGTCAGTAGTTTGTCCTACGATGCAGTAAAACCATTTCCAGAAATCGGGAATTCGAAAAAGTATAGTAACTAATATTTGGTGGTTTTAACAACTCTATGTCGCTTCTTGTAGCTATGTCTATACATGTATCCACATACATATGTGGAACGCCTTTTTCCGAACATTGATTATATGACACATTATTCTAACGTGTACATAATCACAATGCGCAACTACATAAAGCGTTTTCGGATATATACAAATACATTAATTTTCATAATGACAAGCCACGAGACAAACCTTACAAGGGTTCATTTCTTGGAAAACCTCCAGATTCCTCCGATACACTTTTACCTGAAAGGCGTACCATGGCTAAACTATGGATTAAATTTCTTAACAACTAATATACTGTGAATAACTAACTACTTTAATTACTTGTATACTTTTGACAAAGGAAGACCCATTTCATAAAAAAATAATAACAATAAAGAATCCATTTTGATTTAAACTTTCATGATTTTCACACACTATTTGATTTTTAATTCGGGACTTAATCACGTATAAAACATATTTTAATTACCTCGACGTTTCGGACACATTGCAACGTCTATGGTCTCGAAGGGACTGAAGAGGCGGGTGTCAGCATCTTCTAGCCGTGCGAGTTTTTCTAACTACCCGCACTTAATCTTCATTATTTATTTGTACACTAGGGTTCTCACTACACATACAACACTCACGACATCCGGCGGCTTGTCGGGCGATACTTGATGTCGTTTACATTTGCTGATAACTGGATCCCATGACGGTACAGTACTAAAAAAGTACTCTATAACTGTGTTTACGCCGTTATCTAAGGTCACGGGGCATGTCAGATCATCTAAGGATGTAATCCCCTTTCAATCTCCGGGCGTTTACAAGATTGATTGCAGTTGTGGGAGTTCCTGTATTGGGCAGACAAAACGCACCATAGCGGAAAGAGTTAAAAGAACATATCGCGGCTGTTAAGAACCGTCAGCTCAATAAGTCTGCAATAGCCGAGCATTTGCTGGAATCAGGATCAAACCACTGGATTGAGCTTCATAATCCCAAGATCCTTTCTACAGAACGTCATCACTATAGTAGAATCGTACGTGAAGCTATTGAAATTAAAAAACACCGTAATTTCAACCGAGAGGACGGTTTTAAGCTTTCATCGTCATGGGATCCAGTTATCAGCAAATGTAAACGACATGAAGTATCGCCTGACAAGTCGCCGGATGTCGTGAGTGTTGTGTGTCGGTCTAGTGAGAACCCTAAGGCACAAATAAATAATGAAGATCAAGTGGGGTAGTTGGAAAAACTCGCACGGCTAGAAGATGCTGACACCCGCCTCCAGACCATCCTAGTAGTATAATTAGTAGTAGTATAGTAGTAGATATAATTATGGTAGTGGTATAACTGAATGAAGTCCTTTTGCGTACGCCACAATCGCACAAATGACAGTACAAAATTTGTAGTCGTTATAGTTGTTTCTTTTTATATTTTTATTTAGTTAATTAATTATTTCTATTTATTAGTTAACTGCCTCCGTGGCCAAACAGTTACCATGACGGACTGCCATGCAGAGGTCCCAGGTTCGATTCCCGGGCCGGGAGAAATAGTTGTATGCCTACAGTTATTTCTCTCGTGAGTTTGGGTGTAATTTGTGGTTGTCTATGTGTGTGTCCATGGCACCCGCGACACAGGGTTTCCCTAGTGCGGGGCTATGTTGAGTGTGTGCGTTATTTATTACTATTATTATTTTGTTTTGCTTGTCTAAGTGTTATAATTTCTTTTTTAATCTATGTGTTGTGGCGTTGCAATAAATGTCTATTCTATTCAATGTCTTAACGGTAATATTATACAGGGCTTAAGGTTTACAATGACGCCGCATTTTCGTGTCCTGGGAAAGAATCGGTACGGTCTCGAAAATAGCACGAAACGCATTGACTTACAAATAAATGGACGGCGGGTCCGCGCTAAAATGTGTCCGAACTTACAGGGCGTTAAAATCGTATACAGAGCGTCAATCATGCTTTAGTCTTCGTTGGTTCAACTGTCAGCGCGCTTGTCAATAATGCCGTGTTGTGTAGTAAAACCTTGTAAAAATTACTCAAGTAAAGTGAAAAAACAGGGTGGTATATCATATTTTCAGTAAGTACTACATTGTGTTATCATAGTTATCATTTAAAAGTGTTATTTTATGCACTAGTATATATAGTATTTAATTTATATTTAAATTAATCGGAAACATAAATTACAAAAGCAATCAAAATAATCAAATAGCTAACTGTCCCTTTCCGACTCATTGCTTGCGTAAAAGACTGAACGACACCCATCACGTCAATTTCAATTGTTTGAAACACAAGCGTTTGAAATATTTAGAACAAAAATTCCATAGAGTCGCCTTGATGCTAATGTTATTATTAAAATATTTTTTAATACATGTTAGTAACACTTTTAAATATTGTTGTACTCTTTCTACGGCTCGGGGTTACGAATTCGTTTCTCTTGCGCAATCAATATCATTTTAATTTTGTAATTATCTCACAATGGCAATTACCCTACTACCATCATAGCCGTACTTTTTCATGCACAAGAAACATTTGCAAGAACTATGAGCAGTACAACTATGCCTGTTGACGGAATCAACCGTCGTCAGTGATAAACCGTAATAATTATATTGAATCAATGTAAGCACTACGGCATATAGAAAAATGGTGACTTTTTGAGCGCAGTATAATTTCAGTACTATGCACGAACGGGTTAAGAAAATGGTAAGAAAAGAAACCAGAGCCGATGCAAGCGTGATAAAAAACCATAATGTTAAAGCATTGGTATGTGATTACATCAATGAGTGAACAAAAACACTGCATAATAATACAAATAGTAACAACCTTGATAGCCTGACGGTTTGCACTGTGGGCACTGGATGAGAAGTACCCGGGTTCGATACCGATAGGATCAATTTAACAAATTAACTTTTCTAAATGGTTCTGGTGTTGGTATTCTATTGTAAGACAATCACCTGGTTTGAAACTAGAGAACTCTCTGTACATACTCCCCATGAGTATCAGAGCAACAGAATCCCAGAGCAGAACCTATTTACAAAAGTTCATTTTCCAAATAGGTTTTACTGGGAATCGAACCTGGGACCAAGAACGATGGAGTTTATTCCGGGTCATAACTCAGAACACCCAGGCCAAAACAACATTCGAAAAGTTCACATTTAGTTTTATAGTTGATTGAGCTGATTTTTTACGGTTTTAAAAAAAATTCTCGAAGAACTCGAGAAATCGGGTACGAGAATTATTGAAACTCAAGAAAAAAAAAGTCAGACACCCCAGCTCGTAATAAATGGCATTGTATAAAATTCAACATTTACGTATAAAATTTATTTATAAATAATAAAGGCTACTCCATTATACCTGTGTTCAAGTAGTTTTCACTAGAAGCTACATATGGTGCATTTTGGTAATTTTTCAGTAGAAGCTGAATATGGTGTTTTTTTGCGTCTTTCAATTGTTGCAAGCAAAATTAGGCAGTACTGCCTGACCTGAATGACATTACAATTGAAATTCAACGTTTTAGCTTTTTATATTCCTTTACATGTCACTACGTTTGAATAGGTTGACTTGGGACATTTTTTTCGTGGTTTTTGTATTAGACCCGTCGTCCATTTATTTGTAAGTCAATGACGAAACGAGATTTTTTCAAAAGTAGGTTTCCTTACATGGTTATGTTGTTATCTCGTCGTTTTAACATGTGGTCAGAGATGGACAGTGAGCGAACCCGCCCGGGTTTTAACAGGGTATTTACCCAAAATCGTGAGTGGAAACGGCGAATAATGGTATAATTCCATACTTATTGTTTAATTTCGGTGTAATAATGGTTTTTTAGACGATAAAGAGGCAACTCCACGCGACACCCATATTGAAACCCTGTTGGTTCTTACTACTAAGGTATGCATATTACGATTTGATTTTTAAGAAAATCGATTGAAGTGCATATTCTAACTATTCTTGGTATCGATTTATTTCAATGCGGGTTTCAAGTGAATCGATTCAATAGAAAGGCAAATCGAATAGTCTAGACCAGAAAGCAATAAACATCATTACATTTGCACAAAACTCGATTTGAAACAAATATTTGGGTTTAATGGATTTTAATCAGATTTAATATCGGGCGCTTGCCAATCTCTGCATGTGGCCCATTCAATGATATGGTAATTTTGATAACTAATCGTTTTGCTACCAAATTATTATAAGTAGTAAACTACCTGCACAGGTATCCATTAAACAGAGGCAGAATTTAGTGTAAGTCTCTGGGTCACTGTTTCTACTACATAATATTAGAAAAAAAATAAAAAATAAATATTATAAGGAATAATAATTTTTGATTGAATTTTACGAAATGAGTCCATCAAGTTTACACTACGAACCAACTAACGTAGCTAAAGTGGTCGCAGCACAAACCTGGAACGGGTTTACCTCTTCGAAGATGTGCGGCGTGTACTTGGGGGGCATTGGGCTGGATAAGTTGGCAGCTCCGGGGCCCTCGCGGATGGTGGGAGGTAGGACATTCACCAGTCGTCCGGTGTTGTAGTTGCACTCGAGCGTGTACGATCTGACCAATCCCGTGGTTTTGTATACCGCCACTCGGCCTGAACCTTCGCGGGACATGCCGTCGCGACGGTCTCTGTTATGTGGGCAATAGACAATGATTTTTACAAACTATTTTATTAGTGAAAGTACTCCACTAAGTCGTTGTAATAATTGATACAAGGTCGAATAAACACAAAGAAAAATTTCTTTCTATCCGAGTGGAGTCGAACCAACGACATTTATACATAAAAAATATGTCAAAAGTTTTTCGTATCAAATATAAGTGTGGAAGTACTTGTAATCTTTTAACGCAAGTCTCTTTTTTTAGACGAAAAGTAAGTTGGTACTGACTTTGCGTACGTGATGAGGTTCTATGCTAGCATCCGTAATATTGTGTAAACAAAACCTAAAGGCGCTTTCATGCCTGCACGCACACATATTTTTCTTTTCTTTTCCCAAATTTATTATTATTATTATGTTGAGATATATGACTTCCTAATTCGACTGTACTGGCTTCATCTATTTAAACAGTATATTCCGCAGCTTATTGCATTTAACTTAGCATTGTAATGATGTACATTTTTCAAAGAATAAATAATATTATTACTTTGGATATTATCTTAGGTTCTCGCCTCTCCCATGGCTTAAAACCCTCCCTTTATTAATACTATTATTATTAGGTAAATATTTCACAATAAATAAGATATTAGGTTAGATAAATGTAAAAAAACGTGTAAGTTATTTGAACCTAAACTGTGGCTTACAAATACCTTGTGAATTTAGAAACAGTATGCGTTTGAGCAGATCTTTTTTTTAAATCCGGTTCTTGCTACACTAGTGATAAGTGGTAAATTTTTAAACTCACTTCAGATACATGTTCCGTTCAGTGAAGTTACACGACGAGAAGTGGAAGTGCAGGTTGTTGAGCGACATGATGCGCGGGAGCAGCATGCACTCCACGGAGCTCTCTAGGTCGTCGAAGTGGTTGCCGTACATGAAGATGCCTGTTACAAATTATCATAACGCCTTTAATAATAAAGTGACGAACGAAACTAACGAAATAAATTTTAAAAAACGTATGACATAAAAATCACAGAACAATTATTTATTTATTTATTTATTTATTTAGGTTCATCAACAATTGTTACATCGATACATTTACATTTTACATTGGTAAGAGTATTTAAACTAGATGCACAACTAATTAAAGATGAAACACAGCTTGCATTAAATTGAGCAGGATAGTCTTAATATTACATTATATCAATACCAGGTGAAAAGAATATACTACATATAAAGTTAAAATGAAAATTAAGAAGTTAATGTGTAGTGAAATTTGTTTTAACAATTAGTTTTAAAAATACAGTACATTTACGTGCCTAGGATTGCCTTACGAAGGACGGCCATCGAGTCCGAGAAAATATCGACTTTTGCACTATATTCGTTGATATTCATTAATACAGTAGAAGTGCTTAGTTTGTGGGGCACGTGTGCCATAAGTACGCGAAGTTTCACATACTTAAGCTCGGACCACCATTTTCGCTTAGTACGTTATGCTCGTGTTATTTGTTTCACGTAATTTCAAATGTACTGGTTCGATCGATTTACTAATTTATTACAAAAAAATAAAGTAGATAATTCTTTCTCCAAACATGCTACGCGAGAAAGTCGTAAATCTGACAAAAATGTCCCAGATATCGGGGATAGACGCCATCTTTCACAATTCAGTTTTGTTTTGTTATGGCTTAATTTCATACCTTTTGACTACACCCTATAAAACATATTTTTTTCTGAACTTTCGTCACGTCACAAACCCACGGCACCGTTCGCTTCTATTAACTCTGTTTACACCGAATATATTTTATTCGATTACATAACACATAACCTCCAAAACATCAAACAGGAAAATCTTTATGTTGATGCTTATCCGTAGGTAGCCAGGCAAGTTTTCCTTCCTTTACATTCTTTGGGTATTATACTGGAATCTTCAGAACTATTTTGATTACTTTTAACTGATATGTATTTGTTTTTTTTTAAATGACAATGCGTATAATTGTAGCAAGATCCGCGATGACCCCTCACCACGCCGTGATCCGAGTCTGATCACGTACACGTTAACACTTTTCATAATAAATCCAAAAAAGAAAGAAAAGAAAGACAGAAACATTTATTAAAAACTAAATTTGTTCAGGAATTTAAAGTTTTCATATATATAAATTATGTCAACAAAAATTTATTTGGGAGATCGCCATTTTCTTTAATGTGTACTATAATTAATAATAAGTTATTACGTCTTCGCGAGTTAACTAGGTTGTAAATTCGAACTGTAGTCGTCTCATTGCAAAATATCTAGAGTTAATTGTAGCCAACAATGTACTGTTTTATTGAAACTAAGAATTTTGCTTTTTTTTTTTTTAATTTATTCATTTCAAAAACATTAACTATTTTATTACATTAACGCTAGGTAAAAACTTAATGGTTTAACCACCTAGCGATGAGCTAACAAGCTCGGTACTTAAATTAGCTTACTACTTACTAAAATACAGATAATATATTACAATTAAGAGAGCTAAATACAAATAAAATGAAAAATTACATTACGACTCAAGATAGTACTTCTTTAAAATAGCTTTGCATTTCCTGACATCACCCTCAATTGCATCTAGTACTGTGCCTTCAGGGTTAATTTTGATGAAGTTAAAAAGCTTACCCTTTTTAGAGGCGTGTCCGTGGAGGTCGATGTACAAATAGAGCCCAGATTCGGGTTCCTTGGGTTTGGCGATTGTGGTCACCTGCGCGGTCGGCTGCTTCTTGCGTTGTGCTTTCGTCGACAGCAGCTTCATCTTATCTTCTTTTGTTGTGGCCTGCGTTACACAACATACTTAGAACCGTATCTCAATTTCTAAAACGAGAAATCCTTGAATTTTATTGCATAGATCCTCACAGCAGTACAGTTTGACGTTATTCAAATATGGTGATGTTTTACTACCATAACACTCTTGGGGTGCACGAAAGGAGCTGCACTGAACGACCATCCCTTTCCTGTGCGTCAGGCGCGACCTAGGTAACAATCGGCAAGTGCCTTAAGCCGATTGGTAAAGTCTTTCACCACGATGACAAGAAATACAGTGTGTGCCATTGATACGATAAGAAGAACATATAAACATAAAATAATAACGCACACAGTCATGGCCCTGCACTAGGGAATTCTTCGCGGGTGCCATGAACACACATAGAGAACCACATATTACACCCAAACTCGAGAAATAAATGTACGCCGTACAAATATTTCTCCCGGCCCGGGAATTGAACTCGGGATCTGCGTGGCAGTCCTTCATGGTAACCTTTCCACCAGAGGCAGTACATGATATTCATTTTTTTTTGTGAAATTACTCCACTACTTTTGTTATAATTATTAACACAAAGGCATTTGGTATAAAGTTTTTGTTCCACTATAGTTTTAAACCTTGTGCATTGCTAATTTCGTATATCAAACGGAATCTTATTACAAAAGCGTATACATTGCCCGCTAAATGATATTGTAACTTTGTTAAGATGGCTGTCAAAAACAACTATTTATTGTTATTTCTCGTATGAATGTTATGTCAGTCACTATTTTTCATAAAAAGAATATTATTCTTAATTAAATTTTTATTGAATTGATATTCAATTATTTTTTGTGAAATTACTCCACTAGTTTGTTATAATTATTAATACAAAGATCGAACACAATAGATGGCGCTACGACTAAAAAGTCGTTGAAAGATCAAGTACAAAGACACGACGCAAGCACATAGAAAAATTTGTGAGGTCTGTTGGTTCGTTCCGTGGCTTAGTTGGTATAGCGTCTGGCACGGTATGCAAGAAGACGTCGGTTCGAATCCGACCGGATCGAAGGAATTTTTTCTGAGTGTTCGATCTTTGTATTAATAATTATAAAAATATTATTCTTGTTAACATAAATTACATTATCATAAATATATACACTGACCGTGGTCTAAGAATGTTAATTTCTTTCTTTCAAATTGTGTTTTCTATTGATCTTTAATTATTGTGTTTGGGACAGTAAATGTTTATTCAATTTATTTAAAAAGTCTCCTGTATAAACGACCTGAGTGGTAGAGTGGCTTGCATATCGATTTTCATGGTGTCGCAATCTTTGAGGTCCCGGATCCGATCCCCAGCCTGGTTAACGTGGAAACTGGTAACCTTTCTATATAGTCTCGGGACTGGGTGTTTGTGGTACCGTCGTTGTTTACGATTTCCATAACACAAGTGCTTTAGCTTTTATTAATAATGTCAAGAGACGGGACGAACTATTCGTGCACCTGATGGTAAACTACACGCCTGTCCATAACAGTCGCAGTGCCACTCAGAGCTTGTTATCGCAAAGATCTGCGGGGCACTGCGCCCGTCACTCTGAGGCATGTTGACAAGTCGCATGTGCCTGTAATTTCACCAGAACCCTTATCCCTCTAAACTGGAACGGTGGCAGTACTCGCTGCTAGTTACTTTAGAATCAAAGCAACGTACGTGTTGTGGTCTGATATTTATAAAGCCAATGTTTGTTGAGAAACAAAGATAGCACGCACGTTGGTGGGCTGGTCGCCCGTAGAGCCGGCGGGTGCGCGGGCGCGGTCGTGCGCGTCTGCGGCTCCGCGCACGGAGCCGCTGTCGCCGGCCGACACCGTCACCGACGTGTGCGACGCCGGGCGCTCGCTCATCACCTGCAAACACTGCAATCCCGGTCGCCTTTACAACCGCTATAGGCAACTCACATCCACCGTCATTTGAAAACCTTAATAAAACGATATTTCATTCACAGTAATGGGAAGGCGACAGCCACCGACGGCCATAGAAATCAATAAATATAATTACTTAAATAAATTGTAACAAGTAACTTCAAATCAGCGTGTACCTTTTTTGTTTATTTTTATTCTTTTAAATGTTAAGATTAGGTTCTTTTCCTTATTGTAATGCAATGGCATTGTCACGCGACGTCTCGGGAGTTATATAATCTTAAAATGTAAAGATTCACTATTTCAGAGTCATGTATTACATCTGTGAACTGGCAATCGGTATTTACTATCTCAATTTTGATAACTTAACAGGATGAAGAAAAAATCATTTAAATAGCATCTGGTTTATTAAATAAACATACTCTTTTATTTTTTAATTGAAGTGAAGTGACGTGCTCTTTAGCTCCGATATATATAATATAATATAAGATTATACAAGTTGATAAATTGTGGTACCCGTCTAATAAATAATAATGAAATGAAATAAATTATAAATAATTATAATAAATTCTATTATTTATTAGATAGGTACCATAATTTATCAACTTGTATAATCTTATATTATATTATACATATCCGATTTAAAGAGCACGTCACTTCATTCAAATTAAAAAATAAAAGAGTCCAGGAAGTATAGCATTTTTTGTCTATGGTTGTATATCAATAATTACGGAACTTCGGAGCATATGTCAAAAGTTAAACAAATGGTCGGAGTATAAGCTTTAAATTTGTAGTCTATGTGTATGATTTTTCTCGAGTGCACACGTCATATCGAATGGGCGGAGAGGGGGTTAGTTTAACCTGTAGAAGCGTATCACGTCATTAAACAAACACTTTGCCATTTATATTTGTGTATATGTACAGAAATGCATATACTCACGATCTCTTCGTTGCTTTCGTTGATGATGTACCGTTTAAAGCAGTTCGTGCAGAAGTAGACGGTTTTGTCGTGTTCGGTTTGGTCTGGCTCTTGCAATTTCTGTTGCTCTTGTTGCTGCAACTGTAAGATAGTGTACTAATTACAAATTCTTTATTTCATAGATAAGCAAATTACACATGAATGAATGAAATTAATTAAACATTTCGTTCGTAAGACATATTCGGATATTAAGAAACTTTAGGGGATTATTTTTGTGAATAGATTTTTGTTCACATTTATTATTCTATAAAATATATCTATAGAATATAATTGTAAAGAAATATCTAAACGGATCACTATCACGCATTTTCGTAATACAAGTACGCAGATTACCGTTAGATTAACTTTGTATAAAGTTTTGATTTCACGCCAGTTCTGAACCTCGTTAGTGGCAAATTTTCAGTATGAACAGGAAACTCTTTATGGAATTGTCTACAATGCTCTTTGAATGAAACTGTGACATTGTCGAAGACGAAGAGTGGTTTAAACAGCAACAATAAATGGGAAATAACGCAACGAGTGCGATTGCTCTGCTTTTTGTCTTATGCGGTTAGTTTGCAGGATTTAAAAAACTAGTTAGAAACGGTTCAGAAAACTAACTCAAGTATAACGTGGTTAATAGAGGAATTATATACTAAATATAAAAAGCAAATACAACATTAAATATAGCTGCCGCCTGCAAACTAAAATGCGGCTATGTGACTAATGGTAGATTGTACAATGAGTGCACAAAACGCGTCATTTCACCCGAGACGAGTATATTCACCCGAGCCGCAAGCGAGAATGGATACTTAAGTCGAGAGTAAAATGGGTTTTATGAACGAGTTATAAAGATTACTTCGATTGCGAGCAAATTAAACAGCAATATTACAAATAAACGATTATTTCATCGAAATTGAATTTAAAATTAAAACAATTAGAGATATTTAATGAGATGGTTTTTTATTTTATGCACTAGAGCATAAAATCCTATTTTATACAGCCTACAACCAGCATAAATACGAACTTTAAGAGCATGAGAAGTGAAAACCGTATTTTGAGGTATCATAAAAGAATCATAACCCAGTTTTAGAATGTTGAAATTATTTAATGATATTTTAGCTTTATGTCATTAGGGTAAGTTCTGATATGTCGAACACATGAACTGTTTTTAAATAGAGAACTTGGAGATATGTCTTCAAGTTATCTGAAACGGATATTTGGCAATTTGTCACTTACCCGCGTTTTAGTTAGGGGACGGCAAAAAGTTGTAAACCAAAAGATTAAAACCTAAGATTTGCAAAGGGCACAGAAAAATTCGTAAGGTCCGCTGGTGCCTTCCGTGGTTCAGTTGGCATAGCGTCTAGCACGGTTTGCCAGAAGACGCTGGTTCGCATACAACCGGATCGAAGGAATTTTTTCTAAGTGTTCGTCGATCTTTGTCACAAAAAAAATTGAATCCTAACATTCAATAAATTTAGTTTCAATGAATAAAATTATTTATGATACCTTGTTCATCTCATCTATTTGTAGTTTTTGGTGCTCTCTGTATTCTTCAATTGAAGAGTAGGTGGGGCTTTCTGGTTTCTATGTAGGAAAGAGAGGAGACAGGTATGAAATAACTAGGAAGTGTGGTTCAACGAAAACAAAAAGGTTTCACTTCGACATAAAAATAGATTTGACAAGATGCATCTTGGTAGGTTATGGGGAATTCCATTATTACATAAATCTGTTAAACGAGAATTCAACCTAAACTGGTCAATATGTGTTGCGTACAAAAGTCTAGTCGTTGCTGCCAGCCGTCGAGTGTATAATCAAAAATAGAGACGAAATAAGCTGGCAAATGGGCCTTATATCACTTTTAAATATCAGCTCTCGTTTGCGCTCATATCACAAAGTAGAAAGCTGAAATAGTACAGCAACAACAACTGACCTGTGTGTAAGTCTCTGTATATTCTAAAATATTCTGTATTTATTGTAATAATGAGAGATATTAATCCATAACTATTCCATTCGGTGGTGTGGGAAAAACAGCATAACATCTAATTACAAAACAAACGGTATCACATTTCATCGGTTACTTATTATATTACTTGTTATATGTTACAAACTTAAATATGTAATTTTTCAATTTTTGTCCATTATAGCAAAGCTCAAATTAAATTGATCGGTTTGAAGTGAAAACAGTTGACGGTCGCCAATTGTTTCGAATTCGGGTTGGCCAATCGGAGCGCAGTTATCACCGTAATGTTTTGACAGAATAGTTTTCAAACAAATTAAATGACATTACGTCTCTATTTCCGGTTATATCACATTGAGGTCAGTTATAGCTTGCAACTTGTAAAGGGATACATGTTCAACTGAATGGGCTTGAGCCGTTGAGTCACATGTATAACGGGAATTAAAGATATAAGTACCAAAACCGCATTAGTACAGCGGGGTAGATAAACTCTCTTTTAGAGAGGACCCATGCCCGGCATTCAGAAAGAGCAGAACGCCGTATAATAAATAATGTAAATAACCTTTAGTGTAAAGTTTTTTCATCTATATTGTTTAAATATCAACCAGAATCTTATTATAGAATCGTGTACATAGTACCTCTTAAACGAATTTCGTCGCTTGACTTTCTCAAACCCCTATCTTAAAGCACAAAGTTGCTGAAATGCAAAAAATTTATTGATTGTATGTACAAAACTTTACTGGCTGATTTCACATCAAATTTCCTTCATATTCCACACACTGGCTATTACCTATTCTTAAAATAATCCCTTGATAAGAAATTTAAAATAAATAGAAACTTTGACGACCGTCAAGAATGACCAGTTCATTTTTATTCCTAGTAACAATTTTATGTTGATCACTATTAACCTGTATGTGGGCGACATCGAATACGTACGCACGACCTTCTTCGTGGTCGAGTGGCTTGCACGTCGGTTTTCATTGTGTCGGTTTCAATTCAGTACAAATTTAAACGTATGTAATGTTGTCTAATAGTTATTTACTTACGAAGGCTACGGCGGGGTACCCGGGCACGAGGCCGGTGAGGCCGGGCATGGAGTCCTCCAGGCGAGAGACGGCCGCCCGGCACTCCGTGCACCAGCCCATCTTCACGTTCGATAATCGAGACTCCTTCGCCGATATCGCGGTGCTGTCACTGTTGAGACGGGCATATTATTTATATCACTATACAATTAATATTTTAAGTGTGACAAACCGCAGAGAATTAAAATTCAACACATTCGTTCATAATATCATCGACCAGTAACTGAAGAGGACTGCTGATCTCTATACTACAGATCGTAACTCTGAAAAAGGTCAAAATTCCATCTTATGTCTAGATGGCGCTGATCGATAGCCTAAAAGTTTATATATGTGAAATATAAGTTAGTCAGTTTTTCCTTGTAATATTATTCAAATATGGATATTATTAAAATTATTTTCTGAACTTCGACAAATATGCGTGTGAATAGATGGCATTGTGTGTTACAAACTAATTTATAAATTAACATTTTCTAGTATGGGTAGATGGCGCTAATCCTAAGCAAAATAAAAGAATAGACGGCAGTATCCCTATAAATCTGTGCAATAAGGGCCATCTAGTTGATTTATTTGTTATCACTATTTACAAATTATAGTCTGTCTTTTTTGAAGACGGAGTAAAATGACATTTGTAGGGTTGCCAGTTTTCATAAAATTTCAAATAGTTATTTAGTTGTTGTCGATAGTTTTATAGATAGATTGTGAATGTTATGATGTTCTAGATTACTAATTGCGTTATTGCCTTCTTTAATATTATTTTGACAGTTGGCCTATTAGTATCGACATCAATTTTTATTCATTCATTTTAACAATAGCCGGATGTGATTAACTTAAAAACTTAAAATAAAAATTAAAAACTTTAAAATATGCCTCCTCTTTGTATTTTTCACAAATATAGTTCCAAGTATGAACTTACAGAAATTGACAATTTAAATAAACTTGTGCTCAATAATCTTCAAAAAATACAGACTCTACTTACACAAATAGCTATTTGGTACTCATCGCGACATCTGGTGTACCAATAGGTACTAATCACCCAACTACACTGTCTTGTACATCGATTAGATGTCATTTTGAATTATTGATCCATGTTAACATTATTTAATATCAATACACCCGTGATACCATGCGATTTTTTTAAATTTTCCCGCGTTTTTCCAGTCTCATTTTTCATTAGCCAGACTCTACTATTATCTCTCGCTAAGAAATATATGATTTTCTATGAAAAATAAGACAGGTAACTTACGTAACAGAAGAGTTAGATTCCATAAGTAAACTGATGCTGTTCTTTAAGGTATCCCTTAATGGTCGTAAAGGATTGTTTCCTTGAAAGTTGAGCTCTTCACTGGTGCTCAAATGCACCGAGGAGCCAAGACAGGTGCGGAGGACGTTGTCGTTGAGGAGAGAAGGCGATGGTTCCACGTTCGTGCACGACAATTTTAATGACAGATCGCTGGTTTGGGAAGGCATCTCTCGGATTGTCATGTCGCATACCTGGTGGGGTATAAAAACGTCATAAACGGTTTCTGTGTTTGAGTGAACAAAGAAGTATGTTCTTCTGTTGTGTCAAGTTTTATCAGTAGGGCTAGCACAAAAGCGTGAGAGCGACATAAAGCGCGATATACTGCTATTTTCGCAAGGAGATTCCGCGATGTATGTCACTTTCGTGCAAGTCGCGTCCTGTTGTGCTAGCCCTACAGGTCATTGTTCCGGCATCATTTGTACATTATAACACACCTGCAATAATAAAGTGACGTATTTCTAAATATATCATTTTAGGGAAAATGCGTACGTAATAAAATTAAGGGTAACCTATCCCAAACTATTCTAATTCATACAAAAAACAAATATCGTGTTTATTTCCTCGCAAGTGTGAAAAATATTGTATGTGTCACGGACGGTAAAAAAATTCAAAACTCGGGTTATTAAAGCACTCAGTTTCGGGCTTCTAATAGACCCTCGTTAGTAATTTCTTATTTACCGTCTCTATGTCTCTATCCGACACTATGTGCTATTAATACGCTCCAGCCATGTACGCCTGACTTGCGCGAAACGCCTAACATAATGATATGTGATGATAAAGTTCCATTTAATATGAAAAACTATTTCTTAATTTGATTTACCAATGTATATATCAGTAGTCCGAAATGACACTTTCCAGACTCCGAACGAGACTTCTTTCATAACTCCGAAAGTAATTAGGAGAGGAAAAGGTTTTTTATTTTAAACCTAACTTAACCTAACCTAACCGAATCTAATCGTATCTTTGCGATCATATCATCCAACATATCCTGAAAGAGCAACGGTTTCGTTATAATTCGGTTTTCGGCGTAATGAAAATTCGAACTATTTTCTATGACACCAAGTAACGCGGGACGAACAAGTGTGGCTGGTGGTAAGTGACACGACTGGTACTAAATTCTTACATCGGTCAGGTCAATTGGCATAGAAATGTGACAATACTCCACAAGTTCGTCTGTTAGTCTTTTGGTAGCTGTAAAGGTACGCTGTAATTCATCGCCATCTCTGAGGTCCCGGATTCGAATTCTGGCCGGGACAATGTAGAACAACTAACCTTTCTATATTGTTTCGGGTCTGGGTGTTTGTGGAACCGTCGTTGTTTCCAATTTCCATAACACAAGTACTTTAGTTACTTACTTTGGGTTCGGAACAAAGTAAATTAAATAAAATAAAAACACAAATCACACGATATTATGTACAAATAAATTATGAGCCATGAGTGATAAAACGACGAAGCCTCAGCATAGTGCTGTTTATCAGTCTCCGCCTGTGTTCTCTGTCGGACATCGAAACTACCTCACCCTGGAAAAGATCCCAAGCTTCCTTGCTGCATTTTTAGCCATGGATTCAATGTATCTGCCGAAGTTCAAATTGGACGACAGGTCCATTCCAAGCAGCTGGAGACAGTCGGCTATCGGTATGGTTATATCACGAAAAGTCGGAGTCAGCTCAAAGGGACTACGTTTTGTGGAGAATAGACACGCCTGCGTTTTGGTAGCGTTAAATTTGACAAGATTGGCATTGTCCCAATCGGAGACTGCCTGGAGTGTCAAATCTAAACGGCTAACCACGGACTCTCGACAGGACTGGATTTCCTCTCCACTGACCCTTTCATTGGTCAAGTACCTATCTACAACTGTGTTGTCATCATTAACATATCATTGATATGCAGCAGAAAGAGAGTTGCAGACAGTACGGAACCCTGAGGAACTCATTTATCACCATATGTTCGGAAGAGTAGCCTTCTAAGACCACTCAAATCGAACGTTCGCTCAAGAAATCCGAGATCCAATTGCAAAGGTCAATGGGAAGCCCATAAGAGGGAAGCTTACTTAAAAGGCTTGCGTGTCACGGGGTCTACTTTCGATCTCCGTCCGACATCCGTCCGAAACAATTACTGCGAAATAAGCAATACTTGATCAAATTAAAAGACGCGTGATGCGAATGAAGCTTCATACTGGATACTTGTCTTTTAATTTTGTCGAATATTACTTATTTGACAGTAATTGTTTCGCACGGATGTCGGACGGAGATCGAGAGTAGACCCCCTGACTCTGTCAAAGGTTTTAGAAATGTCCAAAGACACTACAAGTGCTTCGCCTTGCTTTTCTATAGCCTCGCTAGAAGAAACCTACAAGAAGATCCCCAGCAGATCGCCCTCGTCGGAATCCGTACTGGCGATCACTGAGGAGGTCGTTGTCTTCAAGGTACGATAGGAAACGGTTGTTGAGTACACGTTCCATAGTCTAGCAGAGTATGTAAGTGACTGTTGACAGGGTTGACCCTGTCAACTATAGACCTATCCCAGTCACTTACTCTACTTCCCTTTTTTGGCACAGGTTGCACGTTTGCAAGTTTCCACGACCTGGGAACTACACCAGTCTCAAGTGAGAGGTGGTACAGGCGTGTGAGAACAGGAGACAACTCAGGAGCACAGTTACGCAGGACTATTGCTGGAATTCCATCAGGCCCTTTAGCTTTATTCACGTCTAGATTTCGCAGAGTTCTAAGTACTTCTAAGTTCTAAGTACTAAGTACCTCTTTTTGGCGTAAGCGAACTACAGCCAGCCTGACGTAAAGTAGGTTCACTGCGGCATTCAGACGCGAGCTCTCTACAAAGAGTGAGGCAAAGAGATTCGCCTTCTCTTCCGCAGTATGAGCCAGCGAGCCATCCGCCCTCAGCAGAGGTGGCAAAGATGGGCGACAAAAGTTAGATTCGACCGCTTTGGCCAGGGACCAAAAGGATTTGCCGCCTGCTGGATACGAGGCAAGCTTGACCCCGTAACATGCTTTTACACTTCTTGGCATCCTTATTAAAAGCTTTCTTCAAATTCTGCGTACTCGGAGCTTTGCGTAGTCGAGTATTTGCCCAAGCTTGTTACGCGGACTGTTTATGTACTTCAGCAAAACTACAATCAGCGTTAAACCATAGACGAGCTTGGGGTCTATTAGGTACATCAGAGTATGGTATGTAATACTCCATACCCAAACGCAAGATCTCGACTACAGCATCAGCACAGTTCGAAGAGTGTCCTGAAGTAAAGCACGCCTGCCAGGGATATGACGCAAAGAAACGGCGCATTTCGTCCCAATCTGCTAACTTGTATCGCCACACCCGTCTCACTCACTTTATTATTACCAACTGCCGCCGATACACTACATCAAGGAAAGATTTGCAACCATAATATCTGTATATCTGCCGTCCATTAACAAAAACGCGGCTAAGTGACAAATGGTCAAATATCCATTTTAAATAGATCACAAAATCATATTTTAAAAACAGTTAAAATTAAGATACAGCAATAAACAGTAAAAATTATTCGTTCCGTGGCTTAGTTGGTATAGCGTCTGCCATGGTAAGCTAGAAGACGTCGGTTCGAATCCGGCCGGATCGAATGAATTTTTTCTGAGTGTTCGATCTTTGTATTAATAATTATAACAAACTAGTGGAGTAATTTCACAAAAAATAATTGAATATCAATTCAACAAAAAATTAAAATACAGTTAAAATTAGTTAACGTGTTCGACTTATCATAATAATAATAATAATAACAATAACGCTCACAGTCAACATAGCCCCGCACTAGGGAAACCCTGTGTCGCGGGTGCCATGGACACACACATAGACAACCACAAATTACACCCAAACTCACGAGAGAAATAAATGTAGGCCATACAAATATTTCTCCCGGCCCGGGAATCGAACCTGGGAACTCTGCGTGGCAGTCCGGCATGGTAACCGTTCGGCCACGGAGGCAATTATCGGAACTTAACCTAACGATGCACAGCTGTAATATCATTAAACAATTTCAATTTTCACAGTTTTCAAAATTGAAATTGATTATGGTTTCTTTTGATATCAGAAAAAAATATTTTGTCACTTATATTTATTTTATTAGTTAGCGGACAGCAAATATTTTACGTATACCATTATCCTTTTGCCATTTCTTTGCAAGTTTAGTACCATTATGTATGTATGGAATAAGGTGGCCCATACACATTTTCTTTTTTTAATCCTCTGGCAGGGCCCTACATGATATTGTCTGTGGTTCAAAATATCTGGTTTAAAATGTTATTGCACATCAAATAAATTACGTTTTATCGCAAACCGAGTTGGTACATTTAATGTAGTAATTGCGTTGCCTATACTTGTGTTAACGCATCGGCTTAAGCTTATCGTGTTAATAAAACCCATGTACCGTGACTCTGCTGCTCTATCTGGTTGATTATCGGTTAATTGAATCCGGAGAGGTAACATGGAATATTTAATTTTCTGGTGCCATATGTCTGTGATGCCGATCGGAACGCAGTAATATTCGGCAGAAATACTAGTATGTGAGCATTACGGCGTTTCGGTCTTGAAAGTTAAGTTAATCCATGCTCATAGTCCCGCACTACGGAAACCCTGTATCACGGATGCCATGGACGTATACATAGACCACCACAAATTACATCCAAATTCACGAGGGAGGTAAATATAGGTCATACAAATATTTTTCCCGGCCCGGGAATCCTATCAAAGACCTCTGCGTAGCAGACCAGCATGGTAGCCGTTTAGCCACTCAGGCAGTAATTAGAGGCACATAAGACTTCAAATTATGCCTTTGCCACCATTGACTTACAAATAAATGGACGACGGGTCTAATACAAAAACCACGAAAAAAATGTCCCAAGTCAACCTATTTGAAATTTAAATTGTAATGTCATCGCAGTATCGCGCTGTCAGTAGAACAAATGAGGACTAAAGCGGAGTTTGACGCTCTGTATACGATTTTAGCGCCTTACAAGTGCGGACACTTTTTAGCGCGGACCCGACGTTCATATAATTGTAAGTCAATGTTTGCCACTATAAATCTCAAACATCTAAATAAAAAAGAAAATAAAAAAAGACCCCGAGGCCCAAGTTGACAAGTCTCATGTGTCTGTAATTTTACCAAAAGTTGCAGCGGCGGTGCCCCTCAGATCTTTGCGATTTAAACCTATGAGCGGCACAACAACTGTTATGGACAGGCGTATCGCTTACCACCAGGAGCACGACCGTTTATCACGTCATTTGGTATCATAAAAAAAATCTTTCGACGTCACACGAAATGTATTAGAGAATATTAATGCTATCAATAAAAAGTCTTGATAACAGGTTCCAAGTACCTGTTCAGCGAGATTAGTGGCTTCGGTGTTGACCTTGGGCTCTTCCTTCTTAGCGTCCTTCTTCAACATGTTGTCGGTGTTTTTAATGTTCGTGATAGATCGATTTTTTGACGGTCGCTTGTATAACTCTGTTGCTTTTGCAAACGCATTTGTTCCGGAGTTTTTCTTTTTTCTCTCCAAGATCTGGAAATTGTTTTTATAATGTATTATACGTATGAGGTGATGATATATTACTATCATCGGACCTTATACATGTTGGACAGGAACAAGAAGGCTTCGACCCGTAGACTCAGCAACGGTAACTTTTTTATATACATACGCGAAAATATCAATAAGTATAGCGGATACTTACGTCAGAATTCGTGCTGATGTTCTGAATACTCCGAGACATGAAGCTCTTGCTATCTTCGCTTACGTCGTCTACTTCACAGCCGTGGTGGTAGTACCTGTCAATGAACAGCGTTATGCAAAATCAGCCACGTAATTACGGCGTTGTTATATTTCGCAATTAGGGTAAGGCTAGACGAGCGTAATTTTGTGACTTGTGAGTAGAGGTGGGCGTTTAAACGAAAAGCACTTATAAAGGTTTGCTTTTTAAAATAAGCACGTAAGCACGCTTTTCAAGCGTAAGCGTTAACAACGTGCTTATGTTTCAAGTCCTGCCATCTATGTTTACTAAAAAAATTAATTTGTCAATGTGAATAATGATTTTATAAATAAAATTAAAATTCGTGTTTTACAAATAAACTTACTTATCTTAAAACCTTTAGTGGTCTATTCTTCTTTACGCTATCAAAACAACGTTGCAAGCTTTTTTAACGTAACAGTCAATGCGCTTAAACGTTTTACTAAACGATTTTGTAAGCTTCATACTAAAAAACGTTTAAGTGAAAAGCGTTTCAAAAGCAAACTTTTTTAAAAATAGCACGTTTAAACGTTTGAAAAATAAGCAGTTTTTCCCATCTCTAGTTGTGAGTCGCGTTTTTTGAGTCTCGTAGTTTACGTTAGACTGAAATTCGGTTTGGGGCCACACGAAAGTATTTTATTCAGTTGCTTTCAAGCGCTTGTACGGGTGTTTGTGTCATATACTATTGTTACGAGACTCCTCTCTTCCCACTGACCACTGCTATCAGATAAAGTGTCGTGAAAGAGTTCGTCCAGGGAAGTACTGCCTGCAGTATTAGCATTACTGCGTTCCGGTTTTGAAGGGTAAGGTTGCTGGTGAAAGTACAGGCACATGGGACTTGTCAACTTATGTCTCAGGGTGACGGGTGCAGTGGGAGAGCCTCAGATCTTTGCGACTCAGGCACTGCACCTGTTATGGACAGATTGGTGTGTAGCTTACCCTGATGGTACCCAGGTGGACTTACCATGAACTGTTATTACGATTCAGTTTAGGACCTATAATGAATCGTTGTGAGACAGCGCTACATAAAGTGTATATCACCATCTCGCTTTTTTGTCGTAAGAGTTCATGGTAAGGCCCAAGGAATAGCTCGGAAAGCGCCCTTCGATTCGAGAACGATATCCAATCGAACGATTGGATTAAAAATCGAATAGCTTAGAATCCGGGTCCAGCCCATTTATACAGACTTCATCCGGTTCTCAAAAAGCCTTGAACTTGGGTGAGACGCCCCGGGTGCACGTATAATATCCTCCCTATTTTCAGGATAGGTACCGGAGCTGTTGGCACGCTCACTTCCCGTTGTGCTTTGCACTAATAACGGTTGCCAATTAACTCAAGTTTTCACGGAAATAAAAACAGAAACATTACTTCAATCCGGCTGGACTCGAACCAGGGACTTTTTCCCAAATCGGGGCTATTGCTTTCCCAACTGAGTACGGAACGAGTTAACAGACCTCACGAACGAAGCGAGGTATTGCTAGTAAATATTCACCAAAGTACATAACTTAGACATGAAAGTCAAAGTAATCTCTCGGTTGGCAGCAGACAACCGGCGCGGCGTGACGTATTATTATACGTATATATTTGTATGTCACTCACCGTATCAAAGCTCTTGAAGCGTAAACTGTAGGATGTAACAAAAAAGACGGATTCAAATAGACTCTGTTCAAATTGACTCCTCTTGTATCCGTCCTGTAGTGCCCTCTGGCGACCCCGTCGGGATTTAGGAACGGGATCATTTTGAACACATAGAGCCTTCGCAGTTGTATGGCAATGGGATCGTGGCGATTCAGCAACAAGTTTAAAAAGCCGTTGAACACGAAGCTGGATGGGGTTTCGCCTGGGTGTACGCGAGCTGATATGAAGATCACCTGAAAGGGAAACTGGTATTTTAACCACATAGTACTTCATTATAAAGTAAACTGAAAGTTTAGTTCTTGCCTAAGAGTCGATACGACCGCAGGTCGAATACAAATTTTTCCCATACTAATTCATTTTGGTTGGGTCAAGCGGCAGGGGCCCTGGTTTTATTTCAGAATTTATTTTTTTACAAACAAAACAAAATCCATTTGAAAAATGTATATCGTATACTGTACGTGTTCTATTTAGTTGTTGATATAAACAAATGGTATATATAAATTATAAAGTACATATTCAATACAGCGATTTTCTTGTAAAATTTGGAGGTCATGCCAAAAAAGTTTTGACGTTGGCTCCGCCCAAATTTGCGAAACAAATATATGCCTGAAGTTCGCGTGACATGCAACAGGAGATGTTGAATTTTGCGCATTAAAAGTACCAAATTCGTTTTAGCGGAATAACTCTAAAACTAAAGGGATTAAAAAAATCAGTAGTGACAGTTCTCGATCATGCATAAATATAATTAATTATCTAATTTTTGTCCTAATAACCTGTAGCATTTCGAGGATGAATCGAAAAAATGTGAAAATTAGAGGTCATTTCGTGATTTTTATCTATCGAGGAAACTTTATTGTTTTATGTTTCTGATTAGTGTCTATGCTTGAATATATCGTGTAGTTACGCATACAATATTTTATTTTTAACTTTAAAGTCGATATACCCCTCTAAAATCAAATCGAAGATTAGGAATTTTTCCTCTGCTCCCTCTTAAACACTAAATTAATTGTCTATTTATGTGCACAGGTAAACAATCGGCCGCCTAAAATATGCGGTTGTAAACTGTATTCTTATGACCACGTAAACACCTAATGTAATAAAGTTATTCATTCAAAACTGAGGGCGTACTTGCTTGAGCATGTTATATTTAGTACATATATATTCAGCGTTTAGCGCTTTTCCCATTGTAGTTTGCTGGGTCTTAGGAGGTTAACTTAGGCAAAGTGCTTGAAAATAAATTTTGCAAATCGTGTTTCCGTTGCAGAGTATAATACTCTATGTAGGCAGCAATATCGTTCAACATTTCATCAACAGATATTTAAATTTTCGCCTCGCCCATCCTCGTCAATCTCGAGCATTTCTACCGAAAATGCACCATAAATACAAATTTCAATCCTCGTCTCGCCTCGCCGGTGGAAAAGCACCTTTACTCTCTTCCCTTCTACTTATTGCGCCCTAAAGGGTCCATGATATAATCTTTTTACTGGTGGAATGCAGACAAAGAATATTGGATAGACAGATGTTTTGAGTCAAGCTCCACTTGGTAGATTGAATATTTTTTTCAGTGTGACGTTCGATATCGACACCAGCAGTTAACACTACGGTAACTTAAAATTTGCAACTTTACACATGCGATAACTTTTTAATTTTTAAACAAATACATATTAATGATTTTTCTTCATATATTATAAAAAAAATATGCTAATTACTTTTTGTATTATTTATTTTTCAATTCTGAATTTAGTTTAAATTAGCTGAATAATTTGGCACTTAATTCGCAAAACCGACAAAATTTGAGTTAGCATAGTGTTAGTTGCTTATGTCGATACCTATTCGCTATATTTAAATTCCTGAAGTAAATTAACGGTTCTCGAAACTCATTCATAATGTAAGAAACGAGAAGAATGGATAGAAATTATAGATGACTATGCCCAGCTGACTTAAAACCATTAGTGTCGTTAGACACGATTTCGTGTTGAATGTGGGGTTAATTTTCGACTTGGCCAGTTAGGGAGCAAACAATGGAACACAACGAAGCTCATTAAGGCGAATTATGGCAATACTTCGCACGCATTTTCTACATTATGTTTGGTTTCAATTTTAAATTGTCACATTGAACCATGATGTGGTCACCAGGTGAAACTTGTTCTACGGCCAGCAGCACACAACTTCTTTAGCAATAAATTGGATGCTGTTTCTGGTATTTCCGTTAAGGTGAAGTGAGGCCCAAATAGATGTTTTGAAATATTTCAATCACACGGACAATCGGATTTTAAAAATACGAATTCAATTTGTTTTTTTAAATGATAACGATTGATGATGAAAAAAAAAACAACGTTCTGCAATATTTTCACTTTTTACTACGCTCATCTACGAGAAATCAATTTCACTCGATTGTTATTAGACATATTTTAAATTTTCTCTCCCGTGTTCTATAATAAATACGTCAGGGGAATTATGAGGTTATTTTACGGTAAAAGACCATATTTTATTTCTAAAGGTAAATGTTTAAATGTCGTGCAATGAATTTCTCCGCGTCTACCTTACACGCATACACCATAGTAGAATTAGAACCAGTAGGGTAACTCCGTACCCAATAACAGCGCGGCTTGAACGCACATTTCGCATAATAATGAAATGCGCGTTGTCACGACCCGTGATGTGCAACGCTAGAGCACCCTTGGCACGCACATATACAAGCCGAGCTGCGACGAATAATATGGAGTTATCATACTTGTTATTATTCTACTATCCCATTATGCCGTAATGCCCTCAAAAACAAGCTTGACAACTGACTACCCAAGGGCGACTCAGTGCTTACTTAAAAAGTTAACTACACTGTTATGCAGACATAACAACGAAGGCAACTTGTCTAAGGGAATCACCACACTTTACACGGTATCGCATTAAGGGCGCGTTACCATTATGTCGTGACGACAGATAACCGTGCACTTTAAAGTATCGTGTCTCGTATTTTTTATAATATCAAGTGAAGGGACGAACAAGTCTTGCGCCTGATGGTAAGCTACACGCCTGTCCATAACAATTGCAGTGTTTTAAATCAGAGCTTTAAATCGCAAAGATCTGCACTGCCACTGCGCCCGTCACCCTGAGACATAAGTTGATATGTCCCATGTGCCTGTACTTTCACCAGAAATGGTGAACTGTCGTTCACGACTTTTTGTCGTTGCGACGACAGATTGTAGTGACAATGGGAAGAGCTAGAACTACAGTGATAAATAAAATATTACGATGAAAATGTGACGACAGATAATCACAACTTCAAACGATTCTGTCGTACAAACGACAAGGCGGCTGCCTTGAATCGATAAATTGTCGTCAGGATGTAGTGGGAATAGTTAGATACAACAGTCGTTATACGATAAAATATACATCCACGACACAGTCACGGCAGATAGTCGTGATAATGGGAATAGGCTAGACACGACAGTCGTCCAACGATAAATATAAAATGTTAGGACATAATGAGAACGCGCCCTAAGCTGGTCAGAAAAAGTTTTACGTATTTGAAATAGGAACGAAAAAGACGTTATACTTTTCGCGTCGTGGCAGTCTGAACGGAAACAAAATGTGCAACGCACATGAACATAAAGGTTTTTCTGACCGCTCAAGCCGATTTCACAATTAAGTCAAGTTAAGACTCCCTTAAATGAAATATCGACTATGAACTGGCAACCGGTACTATCTCAATTTTTTCAATTTTATAGGTGAAGAAACAACTTCTTTGCGTCATTTATATAGCATCTGGTTTAATAAATAAAAATACATAGTTTTTAAATATTTTTATTATACATTTTATTAAAAACAATGGAATTTCTTGCAACGCTGCGGAGTATGAAATAGTAAAATGGTATTAAAAAGTGAAATCAATTGAGACAGCCATTTCACAGTAGCATTGCCAGTTCACAGTCGATATGTAAATAGGTCCGTGTAAACTTACCTTCTTATTTTGAAACTTCAAAGGTCTTTCCTGGTTGTCGGGGAACAGGTTCCTGAGCCTCTCTTCCCGTTCGGTGGTGATGCCGTGATGCGATGTTATCGTTAGTAGGTCTACTCGCCGACCTAAGCGGAACAAACAAACAATTACCTACAAATAAATAATAATGTCAATGAAAAGTGTAGTTTAAAAAAACAGTAATCACTAAATTTGCACAGATTTATGTAAAAGAAGCACAAATATTTTTATTTCAATTTTTTAAATGTTAAACTAATGTCAATTTTTTTTCATATTTTTCTTGTTATTACAATTTTAATTAGATGTCAAATTTATGATATTACACTATGTAATAATTCTAAGTGTAATTTGTAGTCAGTTATCTGTAGTTATGCCATATTGAAATAAAATAGTTGAAGAATTTAAAATTTATTGAATGGATATTCAATTATTTTTTGTGAAATTAGTCCACTAGTTTGTTATAATTATTAATATAAAGATCGAACACTCAGAAAAAATTCCTTCGATCCGGCCGGATTCGAACCGACTTCTTCTAGCTTACCATGCCAGACGCTATACCAATTAAGCAACGGAACGAACCAGCGGACCTCACGAATTTTTCTATGTGCTTGCGTTGTGCCTTTGTATTTGGTTTTTCAACGACTTTTTTCGGACAACAACGGTATTTTTTCTGAGTGTTCGATCTTTGTATTAATAATTATAGCAAACTAGTTGAAGAGTGTTCATTATTTATTAAAGAGCTACATTAAAATTATTAAAGCTCTTAAAAGTGTTAAGAGAGTTCTTAATTATAAATAATAAGAAAACCCAATACCGGAGTAATGCTGAAATACAATTTCAATTCACGAATAGACGTAATTTACAATATTGACGGAAAAAGTTATTTACATAATTGGATACAGATTTCATGTAAATAATTACGAAGTGAAACTATCCAGGAATCCAACGAGTTTTGCCGTAGGGTCAGGTGGGGTAAGAGGAACACCGGGGGAAGAGGGACTTGAATTCTTAACTCATATCTAAAAAGTTTAGCACTGTAGTCTCTCGGTCTATAAAACAAACAAATTAGTTTAAACGATTTTAAACAGATGTCGCTACGATGCTCCAAATTCAATAGGCGGAATAAACAAATTTGACAGTACACTAGATAATTTTATAGGAAATACGATGACTATAACTCTAGCCCCATCTTTTGGGGGAAGAGAAATGTCAGCACAATTTGCACGTTTTCGGCAAATACATCCTAAGTATTGAATTTAGCGTAATGATTGTTAAAATATGGAAAGTTGATAAACAAAGGCAAGTTTAGTGTACTTCAAAATTTTTATAAGACTACCTTTTTTTTTTTATATACATGACAGGCAAATGACTCCACTCCACTTGATGTTAAGTGGAAAGTGGTATCCAAACGCGAAGGAACCTAGTGCAGCGATGAAACCCTCACTGCACTAGCCACCTCCACCCTGCCTGCCTACAATATGCCTCTTCACGCCTATTCTTCCTTGAGCTCAAAACACTTGACTCAAAATAAAGTATGTTTCTTTTATTTTACCTGACTATATATAATTATTTTTAGGTTCCACAACTGGACTTCAGTGTCTCGGCTGTTTCCACTTTGAGAGATCAAAGATGCTTAAAGTGAAATAAAAAAATTTGCACTGAAAAATAAAATAAAACTTTTTTTTAAATTAAAGTGCCCTAGTTAGTCATACTATTTACTGCTTATCTAGTAGCACAGTAAATGTAGAATATTATGACACTAAAAAACTGAAAGAATTGATTAACTTGTAGTCGTTTGTAGTACAAAAACGTAAAATATGGTGAAAATAATTAAATTTAAAGAAAAAAATATATATCTTAGGTACTACATGGGATATATATGTTTTTAACGTTCATAAGCTGTACTTTCAAGCTTATCCATTCTTTACCGGACATCCTGTATATAATTGGTATGGTTATCTGACACATTTATTTTTTTTTCAATTTAAACTTTGTTAAACATTTTTGATGTTAACAAGGAAGTTTTCTTCTATACAAAATAGTTCCCACAATATAGGTTAAATACGGGAAGTAATAACCCAGTTTATAGACTGGTTTAACACAAAATAAATATCGCAAATGTCTCGCGACATGCCAGGGTGCGTGACGATAAATGTTCACAGCTATTTTACCCATCCATTCTTTTCCACATACAATTCAAATGTTGGAACTATTATGGGTTCGTGAACTACCTACAAACCTGTGAAGTTATTTCAATTCCCCTTTACTGTTGGTGCAGGGTGTCATCTCATCACACTTATAAACGCGGAAACGGCTTGAGCAAATTTCAAACTCAAACTCAATCTTTATTTCATAGGTAAGCATTACACTTGAAAGTGTTATATTGATTAAACTCCACTGCCCATTCGTAATACTATCTCTCGGGTCGGTAGATATGGAGTTTCGGGGCTGGTGCTGGTTACCGTTAAGACCTATGTACAGCGAGTGTCGGGATCAAACCCTCCGCCAGTGATACGCCGTCACGGGCGTCTCTGGTGGACCCAGACTTGGGTATGGATTCGCCGGGGTTTGTGGTAGCTGTAGGGATGAACACGTTCGGCTACCCATCTTAGTAGCGGTCTAGACGACGGCTGTGCAGGTTTGCTTGCACAGTTTATAGTGCCCTTCTCGTATACCCTAAGTGCTGCCGCCAAGTAGTAATGTCAGCATTACTGTGTTCCGGTTTTCAAGGGTAAGGGTGCTGGTGGAGTTATAGGCACATGGGATTTGTTAACTTATGTCTCAGGGTGACGGGCGCAGTAGCAGTGCCCCTCAGATTTTTGCGGTTTAAAGCTCTGAGTGGCACTGCAACCGTTATGACAGGCGTGTAGATTACCTGCAGGCGCACGACTTGTTCGTCCCGTCACATGACATTATATAAAAAAAAATATTATAAACAAAACTTATGTAGAAATGTACGGGAGCCCTCATTCGCCAGACAGATTCCCCTGAGAAGAATGAGCAGGAAACTCTAGGGGTTGCTGTTTGTGAATATACATTTGTACACATTTATCATTTACAATATTTATTTCAAACGTCATGGCTCGAGACTGCCTGCAAGAACTAAACGTGAGTCACCGTCACGGGTTTCATCCAAATACGCAGACGCTGCATAATAATAACCTTTGGTATAAAGTTTTTGTGTCATTATAATTTTAAATCTTGTGAATGTAAATTTTTTAATATCAACCGGAAATCTTATCATAGAGCTGATCAGAAAAAGCGTCATGTCCGTACAGTAAGAACGAAAAAGCCGTTACGCGTTTCGCTTCCGCTCCTGGAACTGACGCGAAACGTACAACGTCGTTTTCCGGCGGTTCTCACCGGCTTAATGCGCTTCCGAGTCGATAAATAGTGATTCCCTTAGTCATAAATTTACTTGTAGAATGAATATTAAAAAACTCCAGAAATATTTATAAATAAACCTTGTTTATGAGATCAGTAGTCACATATTGAAGAATCGATACATATTCCAGAGGCTGTAATTACTCTCCCAACTAATCAAATCAATTCAAATTGGGTTCATGTGCCCTTAAGAATCGCCGGTATTGTAACAGTCCTCCTAATTAATTTTAGCTTTTGACCCAATTGGGCTTCATGGACCCGTAGCGATCGTACTAAAAATAGTATTGTAACAATTCTCTCAAACAATCTTAGCTTTTGACATTATTGGGCTTCATGGCCCCGTATCTATCGTACTAAAAATAGGATTGTTACAACCTTTCCCAACTCAGCGTAGCTTTTGGCCCAATTGGGCATTATGGACTCGTGTCGATGATACTAAAAGTGAGATATCCATAGAATATTATCGTCAGCACAAGTTAAGTTAAAATTATATACAAACTAGTCTTACCTTCAAGAGAATAGACGATACATTCTCGATAATAATAAATATCATCAGGACTCAGCGGTGGTGGCAGCGGAAGCATCTTTAAGTCGATTGTATTAAGCGCAATCTGTAGCTCGGCGAATGAAAACGGATACGTAAAGGCGAAGAAAGTCGTCGCCTTGGTGTTGTCCGAGGTGCGGTATTTGAAGCTCAACGTGAACGTATTGTCGTCGGTCTGGAACGAGGGCACAGTTTTACCCTACGGGGAACAAAAAGAGTAGTGCAGTCATTGACACCTGCACCTTTTAATGCGACTTATTTTGGTCCTTTTTACCGGAAGGAGTAAAGGTGGTTTTTCACCGGCGAGGTGGGATTTCAATTCTCGTCTCGCCTCGCCTGTGGAAAAGCACCTTTAGACTGATATTCATAAAACGAACTTTAATTTTGACTAAGCAAAAATGGCTAGCTAAGAACGTTATTTTTTGTATTTACAAAACGTACTTAGCCAGCGTTTAAGAAAGAAAAAATGTAAAAAAATACTTTAATTTACCCTACAAAGTACGTATGTGCAAAATGAACTTTGTAGTACGTTTTGTACATATTAAAATTTGCTTTGTTCGCCATTTCTGCTTAGTCAAAGTCAAAGTTCGTTTTACAAATCTCAGCCTCAGTGGAGTTAGTAGACACCTAGAGTCAACTTTACCAGTTAATTAAATAGTTCAACTTATGGCTTAACCATCCGTCTACTGTCACTATAATAGATGGTACAGATGATAGGTAAGGCAATTTCGAAAATCTAGTGCGGTGATAACATTGAGATAATTAAGATGAATAGGCTGAAACTCTCTTGAGTCATGATTTGGAGGTCGGTTTATTAATGGGGTCTAAAACATATCAATGACTTTTAGGTCCACTTGTCAAGATGAAAAGAGACTTTAATGGATGAACTTAATTTAATAAAGCGTCCGTAATTACCAGTTAGCCAGTCTAACTTTGAGTGAAACTTGAAATCCTATATATTTCGAAAAGTATTTTACTATTTCTGAATTCGAAAGTTCTATTAATTTTATAATCATGTCAAAACGGGAATTTAGGTGGTATTTGTTCTACAGTAGACACAGAAAGTTAAGGCTGACTTTAAAGTTAGATCGTTAGGTTAAGCTGGTGTGAGAGCGTAATAGGTAATAGACGTGATAGTTTGGGATATGAATTGATTTCATTCCATTGTATATTTACCGAGTGTATAGGGCGATCTCGTATCCTCTCCCACTGAGGTCTTCCAGGAAGCGTGCGCGTCACGGGCGCCATGCCCTGGTTGTACATTTTACCCTGCTTGTTCAGGTTTATCAGGTTAAGTCGTACCTAATAAAAAAAAATTGATTATAAAATTGAGTCCAAATATGTTCATAGTTATGGTGGATATGACGTGTTTACGGGGGACAGTCTTGTTATTGTTTCTAGTAGAATTTTGAAACGTACCAGTGTAATAAAGGAAAACTCTACAGGATCACGCTATTGAGTGTAGTATTTTTTGGACATTCGTCTAGAAATTAATATTTTATTCATTATCAGCTTGCGTTAATCATTAGTTAAATCTTCTTCTATCAAGTCGTGCAATGTTGTTTTATTTTCAACTACTAAGGCTGGTTTCGCAGCTGTGCGTACGGTTCGTAAGGACTGTCCGCCTGCGTGCCACCCGCATGCGTTGAAACCGCAGTGCTCTGAATCGAATTTTTTATTTTATTTAGTGCGGATATTCGCGGAAGACGGTCACCTACAATGAACGCACGGGTGACTCCTGAGAAGTTCACGCGGAGCGTGTTCCGTGCTGACCAATCCGCGCAATTGTAAATCTATGTTCTAACGCCACACTTGTTGTTACTCCGCACCGGTGCTCCGCGCGGACGGTCCGCAGTCAAATCCGCACAGCTCTCAAACCAGCCCACCAGCCCTTAGGCTGGTTTCAGAGCGAAGAGAGCGAGGAGAGCGAAGAGCATCGAAGAGAATCTTGTACCCGTCAGCACACACAGATGAGGAACGTCAGCGCCCGCCAGTGTATGGCAGCGTCCGTTCCTTCCCGTTTGCCGCGACTCCGAAGCTTAACAGGTGGGTTTCGTCGCATACGGGCTTCGATCAAATTGCCGTCGACTCCCGTCATGATATTCTCGAGTGTACTCTTCAATACCGCAGACAGAAATGCGTTGCGATACTCCGAGGTCGGTATCAGAGCATTGCATCTATTTCAATTGCAATAGTATACATTGATAAATTTTATATCCTCTGCTACTTGGTCTGTCGGTTTGCGCTGGCTCTTATCCTTTTGGAAAGACTCGATCATCTCGCTTATCGATGACTTGTATCGAGTCAATAATCTCAACAGTAAAATTGTCAAGGCATTGTATGTCCCATTGCTGAGTACAGCTCTCCCTCCTCTACACGATAGAGTTAATTTAATCCAAAGTCCGAGAGGTTACAAACGTTCTTCCATATGCAGGTCTCGTCAAAATGATTTCCGTCGCCATCAACGAAAGGTATTGTATAAGGTATAATGCTATTACAATTTACGTAACTAAGAAATCATAGATACATGACGTCAAAGGAATGAGAGCAATTCACCTCGACTTCTGATAAGCAACCGTTTTCCCAGTCGGTCCGCACTTTCCACCAAGTTGAAAAATAACTTCAACAAAAAGATGTCTCGAAGGTTGTTTATTCAAGCACTTTTTCGGATTTAGATCGCGTAGATATATCAATCAGACATGACGGAATGGAACCTGAGGGTCTACTCTAGTTCTACTTATTTACTTTAGTTTTACTTATTTCACAATAATTGTTTCGGTCGAATATCGAATGGAGAACGGGAGTACATAGACCCCCTGTAAACTTGTGCATGGGACCTGTATGCCCGAAAAATTCGTTTGTATGAAAAAAAACAAATATATGCGATTTTGACTGGTTACAAGAAGCGATTTTTAGGAGCGATACTAATGCGTCGCTTGCATCGATGCAATGGCGTATGTGTCCTAAGTGTACCGATACAATCGCCTATGAATCCCAAGTGTAGCGACGCAATAGCGCGTTTGTGTCGCTGCTAAAAGTCACCGTGTGTATATAACCGCTCTTAGATCCGAAACAACACTTTATTTCCATTAGATTCAATGTTGATGTGTTACGTACCAGTATATTAGCGTCACTGGCTTGTACGCCGAAGTAGAACCACGTACGGTTGCCATTCTCGAACTCGGTGCCAGCGCAATCAGGTCGCGTCCACAAATTGAACTCATAGTCCGGTGTCTCATTTAACAATGCCTTGTTTGTCGCTACTATGTTCGACGGTACTGAAAGCAATATTTTGTTATTAATTTCTTATTCAGGTAGATCAGTGTTCTCACTGGCTACGGGCAATATTAAAGTACGTGTTATGGGAATTTTTAAATTGTATGGATTTGAATTAAAGAAAGGAGAACATTTTCTTTCCATTGTGCAAGGTGAACAATCTAATTTGTCACACAGTAATATCAAGGCAGCATGCCTAACGTCATTATTGCGCATTCTTAAACAGCAAATCTGTCGTCATCTAACGACCTACTTTTTGACATGCTCCGCTGTACCCCGTAGGAATCTAGCCGCGGCTTGTTATCTAACCTTTCCTCTATTTCAGATCGCATCACTCTTTAAATAGCGCTGTCTCGTACTATCGGGTCAGAATTTATTCGAACTGGGTTTTCAATTGTTCCGATTTCAGAAGTAACATGTATTTTAAGTATGTCTATTCTATCATTATAACTTTAAACAAAAAAAAAACGCCCTCAAAAGTGTGTGCAATATAATAAAGCGTTTAGAATGCTGATGGAACTGCCAAGCTGGTGTAGTGAAGCGGGTATGTTTGCGGTGGCTCACAAGGGCAGCTTCCAGGCCACCATGCGCAAAAAGATTGTCTCGCTGATGAGTCGCGTGAGGCTCAGTACTAACAGCATTCTAAATGCTATAGCTGGAAGGTATGATTGTCCTATCCTGAAACATTGGATAGTGCAAGTTAAGGGGGTAGCCCAGTTTGAAATATAATTAAGTTGCACTGATTATTACTAACCTTGATATAAGTTCTTTTACAAACATACTGTGGATATTTTATGGTCCGAAATAAAGAATTATTATTATTATTATTATGCTTTAAATCGTAAAGATCTGAAGTGCATTGTTTCTGCGCCCATCAACCTGAGACAGAAGTTGAAAAGTCCCATGTGCCTTAATTTCACCAGCACCCTTCAAAACCGGCATGCAGTAATGCTTACCGTCTGTAGTGCTAACAAACATTTCTGCCCGAAGGATGCAAATTCAATTCCCAGGATTATTGACTATTATTGGCATTGTGTGCAATTTTTACAACTAATTCCCACTTGGCAAGTTTAACGACATTCTTAAGTCAGTAAAAATTCCACAATGTCTGAAGACCCGTCTATACCTACCTACCTACGCCTACCATAACTTACGGTGCCGAGACATGGACGCTCACGCAGGAGGCTGTGTATAGGATGAGAGTTGCACAGAGAACCATGAGTGTGCCATGCTCGGTATCAAGCTTATAGACTGTGTTACCAATGTCCAGATGCGAAACCGAATAAAGTTAAAGGACGTGGGATATCGCATCACGAAGCTGTGGAGCTGGGCAGGACACCTAATGCGGAGACAAGATTACAGACAGACGGACTAAGGCGATAACTGAGTAGCGTCCAAGGTCTGGATACAGGAACGTCGGGCGTCCAGCGGCGAGATGGGCAGACGACATTGGTCTGGATATAGGAAGGTCGGGTATCTCGCAAGTATATTTCGTATCTCGGGTATATTGCAAGTATTGCGGGGCGAACCTGGATGAGATTAGAAGAGATATACCCGGCAGAGGCTGAAGTCAGGCTGTATGTGCTAAGATATGATTAGATTATCACTTGTATCATAAGAATGAAGGAAATTATGGGGGGGGGGGGGATGCTCCTCCATAATTTGTATGGCCAAAGTTAACAAAGCTGTCAGGTTTCCAACCCCGAAAAATGAATTTTGTAATTGATATTTCAAATACTTTCGCGGCTTCTGGTTAGTGCTGATGATTGTATTTTAATTAAATGAGGTCAAAATGCCTTTTTTTCCGAGTTCTTAGGTTTTCACGATTATTACACATAGGAAATGAAACTACAGTATACTATAAACTCAATATAGTATATTGTTGGTTTCAGGTCCCAGGTATAGCTTCAGGTTACATGGGACCTGTAAACAGCCCACAACGTTGGTTCGTTTGAAAAAAAAAAAAACAAAATATACGCGATTTAAATCCGGAAAAATAATTCGAATCATATTTTAATTAAGACATAGTATGTATTGTGCGCAGTGTCCAGGGGACGTACTTAGGTTACAAGACACAGTTTAATAGTACGTTTACAAGGAAACGATGAGGACGTATTATAGGACGTATGTGAAAGGCAGAAGTATGTAAAGAAAATAGGAAATTTGGACTTATAATTTGCCTATATGTTATTACAAGATGTATTGTATATTTTATTGCATGTAAAATACACGAAAATGTATAAGGCTTAGTGTACATGATTGGAATTTATGCACATACACTAGAGACACTTGTCATCAAATGATGGTTTGATAATTATATTAGCATTTCCAGGTTTTAATTACCATACCACAACTTTAATACAATAGCATAATGACTTGTTATATTAGTAAGATTCAACAAATTATGTATATATTATGATAGGACTTCAGGTATTGAACTACCATGTCTGTGACCTACTGACCCAAGTATAACTGCAGAAATTGTGTAAGGTGAGCAAGGAGAGAAAAAATTCGTTAAATTTTGTCAAAAGATATTCTACTTTTTCGTTTAAGTAGTACTTAATTGAAAGTTAAAATATTATAGTAGTAATATAAATCGGAATATGATGCAGGGTGCTGATGAAACCAATCATAATATACAGGTTTAGTACGGATTTGGTGCAGTAGCATAGAGACATACAGTGGGGTCTAATCCTAAACTCTAAATTTATGAAATAGTAAGTTAGATGAATTGGGAAAGGTTGGTGGTAGGGAGGTCTTCTTTGGTCCTGAGCCCTTTACAGGGATAGCACATAGCCTGGCAAAGCTCACTCTGCAGAACGGGAGCACACACATGGTGTGGCTGCAGACTAAAGGTCTTGATTATTCAAAAGCCTTCGGTGCCAAACACTGTCAGGAAGTTCTGTCACAGGAATGGCCTAAGGATGCTGACTAGATCCTTAATGGGGCGTTGTAGCTTGAACAAGAAAACAGAGAATGTAGATTCTGCCATGAGGCGCATGAAACTCCTGTGCATCTTCTCACCCAGTGCTGCCCTCTAATGGGCGTACGAAGTTCCATGCTGGGTAGGCACAAGCCACACCCAGAGGACATAAAAACTATTGGATCCAGGAAAGTCCTTCAGTTCTTTAATACTGTTGGCCTTGGCTCCGAGCTATAATTAGGGTGATCACAATAGATCAGTCAATGCTCGCAGTGATGAGGGGTCGCATAGGCCCAGAGTGAAGCCATTTTAATCGTAATAATAATAAGTTAGTATGAAAGTAAAAGAATAATATTACACAAAAGTCAAATTTCTTTGTGAGATGATAAGACCAGTATGGATGCAGCTTAGATTATGATGAATGTATATTCAAATACTACAAGTATATATAAGTAATGTAATTGATATGAACCCTCTATGGCTTTCTAGAACAAGGGCCTATCTCAAAAACACCTAATTAATGTAGAACTTGTACTTTAACTGAACATTTCCAATGGCCAGCACAATTTTTAAATTATTTTTACAATTTAATTATAATAACTAAGTCGAAAACTCAATACTTGTCAAATACCTAAACGGGCATTGTCAATAAGCAAAAAGAAGAGAAGAATGTAAAAGACGGTATAAAATAATACGAAGTTATTCTGGGGAGCAAAGCTGTGGAATTGTGTATTGTACTAGAATCCTTACACGTGTAGCAGCCACCAGACATGCCAGAATGTCGAACCCAATTCCGACATTCAGGCGCGTCTTAATGCAAGCAAAGGATAGCAGTAAGAATATGTATCATATAACATAAATAAGTTTCACAAAATATAATACATCAGTCTATCAGTAATTCACCAACCAACGACTCATTTATTTCTACCTTTCATCACAATGGGGCAGCACCCTATCACCTGAGTCATGGTAAACATGGTTATTTTAACAAAGAGAAAACTCACAGTGTCATTCTTTATAAAATCTGGCACATTTCAAATATAGCTCCGTGTAATAAACCAGAAAATGAACTACATTGGTTTTGGTGTAAAAGCAAGTAAACATTTATTATACTACTAGTTACATTGTATAAATTCCTAGAACCTAATAACATAAAACTGTAACCAGCAATTAATTGCTTCATACCGACCACATGTTTTATTCCAATTAATATAAGTAAAGAAACTTTCAAACCCATGCACAAACCTTTCATAATAGCACTGAGTCTTACCCTGACATTGGCGGAATCATCATGTCAAACAGAGCCATATTCACTCAAAGCTTGATTTGACTTAAATTATCAGGAACATTTGTATATACATACACATTTTTGTTATAAAACATGGAAATAAGAAGTCTTCTTTTCGTAACTATCCATATTACCCATCATTCATGGCAAACCGTTGTGTGTGACATATTAGTCTAAAGATTGCGGTGAAAAATCTACCCTTCGTAGTCTGTTTATTAGTAAATATGCAAAAAGGACAACACTCGGGCATGCACACGAATCACCAGTTCCTCTCACCAAGAAGTCAGAATAAGTAAATGAAAATAATTACCAACAGCAGACGGCCACGGTCCTGCAAGTAAATAATCTTATTAGCACTGCTATTTAAGACCTAAATACTAAAGAACGATAGTAATGACGCCTCGGAACCCCGAAAAGGCCATGGCGTTGGCACATATCAGAGGAAACATTTCAACTTTGGACCTTGAATTCCTGAATAAAAACATATGACCACTACTTACCAATTAGTTCTGTGGGCACCCGCTCTACGTGTCCGAGGTTCCCCGAATCAAAATTATGAACAAAAAAAAATCCACCGCACTCTATTACATTGTTTTTATCCATAACTAAATAATATTGCGGACTACATTATACAAAAAATCACAAATAAATCGCCAATGTTATGAGCCTTTGTTGAACACATTTACTTTATCAATTTGACCAAGAAAACATTTGAGTGAATCTGCATTTTACCAACTAAAAAATTGACACTCAAAAAAGGAGACTGCACTGTTTTTCTAAACAAAATTATGTAATTTTGTTGACATCGATCTCGATTGACGGATAACAGCTGATTTGTTTTATTGGTGATCTTTTTAAATTACAAAGTAGCTTTAAAACAACCACAACATAGTAATTATGTGCTTATAAATTACCACAATTTTTATTATGAATTTATTTTTAAAGCACGTCTGATAATTTCTTTGCACTTTTTATTTGGACAGACACTCTAAGCCAATCACGAATTTTATTCAAGATGGCTGCCGTGTCGTCTGTCGGTAAGGCTGCCAGTGCGAAATAATGTTGGTTGCGTTGTTGCGTGCGTGCCATCCATACCATACAGAATATTTTTATACCAGCCCCTGGCATACTGGTTCTTGAAATAATATTTATTGAATATAATAATATAGAAAATTATTGTTTATACACTAAAAACGTATTTATACCTTGTATAATCATTAAAAATAAATCAAAAATTAAACGTTGCGTGCTCTCTTGGGGCAGTGTTGGTAGTAGGTAGCAGCTTTTCATTTTTTAACATGGTAATATATATGGATACAAGTCAAGTAACTAGTAAATACACTGGTAGCTCGGCGGTGCATGACGTCACGGGTATGCTGACTTTATACCAGCACGAATAGGTGTA